GACTTTGCAAAAGGGACAGCCAGTTGCCAACATAATCTACTGGATTACTGTCCTTTTTCTACTGATCTGAAGTGCCATCTTCTATCACATGCTACCTTTCTAGACACAGCCATCTGTTTCTAGACTCACACTACTCCTAAAGCCATGTGACAAGGGATTTAATTTCCAAAAGCTTTAGATAATGTTTTTTGTTTCCCAAATAATAGTTCCAAGGACATAAAACCAATGTGACACCAACAGATGCTCTACAGTCCTCTCTTTATGTCCAACTCCCCGTGAACCACTCCTCCATTTGAAACTCACCAAGAACGCCCTGGCAGCCCCGGGCCTGCAGCTTATTCCTGAGAGCAGACAGGTGCACAGGCTGCAGCAGGGAGGCTCAGAAGGGATTTAGACCCTGAGAAGACCAGAGAAGTTGCTCCTTCATCTAAGAATGTAGCTTACTTTTTGGGAGGCTTCCAGGTTGTTGGCTGAAGTTTCCCTTCTTTCTTAAAACCTCAGATCTTACCCTAATGTGGGAAGGAAACAAGGAGAGGTGCTGCTTGGTCTTTCAGCCGGGTGATGGGTCTCTGCAGAGCAGGGTGTACGTCCCTCCTCAAGGTCAATATGTAGGTTCTTCTCACAACACCCTTGTTTCTGTTTAGCCCTTTAGCTGTCAACTCCAGTCTTTAAGTTGAGAGTTGGTTTCTATGGCTTAAGAAAAAAGGAAAGGTTGCACCCAACATGAAGGCTCCTTATCTTGTAGGTGCCGAGATCTTATGTGGGTGTCAGTTTGTGTCCCAGCTGTTCCACTTCCCATCCAGCTCCCTGCTTGTGGCCTAGGAAAACAGTAGAAGATGGCCCAAAGCCTTGGGACCCAGCACCCGTGTGGAAGGCCTGAAAGAAGCTCCTGGCTCCTGGCTCCTGGCATCAGATTAGCTCAGCTCCAACCATTGTGGCCATTTGAAGAGTGAACCAGTGGATAGAAGATCTTTCTCTCTGTATCTCCTTCTCTTCATAAATCTGATCTGCCTTTCCAATAAAAATAAATAAAAGAAAAAAATGGGAGGGGAAAGTTTTTTTCCTTTGAATTCCTTGTAAGAAAGAACCGCACTATAATTTTATACTACCATTGAAAGTATATATAATATTTTTTAAGATTTATTTTTACTTGAAAGGCAGATTTATAGAGAGAAGGTGATGCAGAGAGAAAGATTTTCCATCCACTGTTTTATTCCCAGATGGCTGCAGCAGCTAAAGCTGAGCTGATCCAAAGCCAGGAGCCTCTTCTGGGTCTCGCACACTGGTGCAGGGACCCAAACACGTGAGCCATCCTCACTGCTTTCTCAGGACACAAGCAGGGAACTGGATGGGAAGTGGAGCAGCCAGGACACGAATTGGTGCCCATATGGGATGCTGCCACTTGGAGGTGGAGGATTAGCTTGTTTAGTCACAGCACTGACCCTGAAATTACTTATGTAGCTTTACATGTCTCTTGTATCAAAACTAAATGTCCTAGTTTTTGATAAATTTTTTCCAAGGCTGACTTGGGTAATTTGTAACCTTTAAAAGACTTTTCATTAAAAATAATTATTACTTGACAATCATGTCTTCCTATTGACAGCATTTTGGTTTATCAGTTAATAGAAACTATATGCTTTTTTTCTTTATTTCAGAAAAATATGCCCAAATTCAACAAAATTCCTTTCTACCTCCAACCTCATGCATCTTCAGGAGCAAAAACCTTAAAAAAGTAAGTTCCCATGATAGACCGTTTGATTCCTTGGTCTAGTTCATTACAGGTGAGAATTGGTTTTTCTTCTTGTTGCTTTTATAGTAAAGGAAACATGATCTAAGGCCAACACTCTGATACTGATGAATTTTGTCTCCCATAATTCCCAGCACAGGATACAACCTGCATGTAACTAACTGTTTTTATGGACACTTAGGGAGGAAGCAGAGTGGGGGGATAAATACGTGTTTGATTAGAACTTTTCAGAAAGGCCTCTTGAAGGACTTGGGACTACACTGGACACATGTGGTTGGGTAGAAATTCCAAAGGTCACCAGTCCAGGGCAGGACAGGATGTGGTTGGAGAGGTGGACGTGTGCGCACGAGTCAGATACTGACAGTCTTTAGTGGGAGGCCTGTGTGCCTTAGCCCAGTACAGAGGGCAGCGGGGTAGGGGGGCTTCTTCACAGTGGAGTGCAGAGATTTGGGGGTGAGTTGATGGGGTGGGTCTAGAATACATTGAGTTGGAGGAATCTGTGGGATTCCCACAGTGTGCGGTCGGCTGTTGGGTTTGCGATCTAGACTGGGATGTCATTGTGGAAGCCCGCTCAAGGCATGGTATTGGGAAGGATGGCCAGGGAGGATGGAGAGCCAGGGGCCCTGAGGGCCACCATCCCTTCCTGGGTCCTTTTGTCCATGCTCTGGGAAAGTATGTCAGGAAAGAAAAACCTAGAACGCCATTATGTGTGTATGGGTAACTTTGAAGACTTCCGTGTCATCTCATTTAGTCACACATAACCTGCCTTAGGGTGGCACCATAGAAAAACAAATGCATTGTTTTATGTTTCTGGTGTAGCTTTAAAAATGCAATGTGAACAATCTTGCAGTTGTGTGGTGAGCTCACTGGTGTCACAGAATGCCACTCCTCTTACAGAGACAGACTGTCTGCTAGTGACATGCTGCAGGTCCGCAAAGTCATGGAGCACGTGTACGAGAAAATCATCAACTTGGACAACGAATCTCAAACCACGAGCTCCTCCAACAATGAAAAACCAGAACAGGAGAAAGAGGAGGATATTGCTGTGCTGGCAGAGGAGAAAATTGAACTTTTATGCCAGGACCAGGTAAGTGGCATTGAGGACCACGGCTCCCATGGTGTGGTGTGATGCTGACTTTGGGCCAGAGGCGCTTGGGAAGCAGGGAGCTCTCCTCTTACCCGTGAGAATCGCTTTGTCCTCCCCCAAGCCCCCCGTTCATTCCTGGGTTTTAGGGAACAGACTGGAGTCTTAAACACACCTGTGGACTTGACTGTGCTGGAGACTCAGTCTTGATTTGCAAAATGTCTGCTGTGTGGAAGACCTAGGGTGGAAGGGTTGGAGATGGGGCAGCTGTGTGAGGTCAAGCCACACACCCGAGCATTTCCTCGGAGGAGTGGCTGCAAGGTGGCCTCAGGTTTCTGGCCTAATCATCATAGATGCCCCCCTCTCCCTGTCCCGTCCCATGCCTGGGGACCTGGAGGCTGTGCCAGCATGGCAGGCCAGATCCCTTGATGGGAGCTGCTCGGGTAGGTGCTGAGGGTTTCAGAAAACACGAAGATTAAAGATGACTTATCTGGTTTTTGTTTTTCTGTTCAGGTTTTGGACCCAAATATGGACCTTCGGACAGTGAAACACTTCATATGGAAAAGCGGTGGTGACCTCACCTTGCACTACCGTCAGAAGTCCACGTGAAGGGTGGGCTGACACTCCTGGGTATCATTTGCCACCTTCCTCTCTGGCCCCACGAGTAGTCCTTGGAAGCCCACCAAGCCCCCACAGGAGCCACACTTCTGACGGCCGACTTGGTATGGACCGAGCTTACCTTCCCACTGAAGTGACTAATCGAGATGTACTATAGAAACCAGTCTCCGTGTGTAGCTTAAGCTGTCCCCAGGGAAGCAGAGAGCGAGAGCAGAGGAGCCCCGAGCAGCCTGTCGGGGCGACGGACAGAGAAATGACCACAGACCAGGGTAGACTTGGCTTCCTCTTGTTTCCAAGGACCTTGTCTTTGTTAGCACTTGTTAGAGACACATCCCGTTGGGCTGCATCTGTCACTGTGTTTCAATTTCAAACCCACACGCTCTATAGCTTTTCTAAGAGACTACATTCCATTCATGCAGTACCTAGGAAGGCTTTTTCCAAGTTTGTCATAAAAAAAAAAAAAAAAAACCTTACCAAATTGTTTTCACCAGTTAAGACAGTTATTTTTAACGTGAATTGCTGTTGCACAATTCCAGAGCCAGCCCATTTCGTAATAAACGATTCCTATTGGGCATTTTTTTTTTTAATATTGCATCTCAGATGTGTTCTTGTAGAAAGATCTGGTGCAATTCCAGGTGCCGGATTACAGCCCTTGGGCTGCTGGGCCAGAGCGTGCACAGCATCCTGCCGCACAGTTCCCCTCCCTCCTGCGGCTAGGACCCCAGGGTCTCCCTCCAGGGTGGCAGGAGGACACCATCAGAATGTAAGGCCAGAATGAAATTTCATTTTCATTCATATGCTGCCAACAGCATATGGTGTCCAAGTAGAGGGGCTAGCATAAGTGAGCAAGTTTGACAGGCATGTCCTCAGAGTCTACATATTTGTTTTTCCAAGTTTTATATGCAGGTTTTTGTTTTATCTGTAGCCAGGTCTTCTTTTCACTGTTCTTTCTAACAACCTAAAGCTTTCATAGAAATCATTTGGATCTTGTACAGAATTTAACTTATTGGGGATACACATGACACCTTTTGGCAGGAAATTCTTTGGATTCTTCCCAAGTTATTTGTATTCAAAACAGATCGTTGACACCTTCCCCCCGCTCCTCCCCCTCGCCACACACATGCCCCAGAAAATGCACACACTGAGCCTCCTGTCAGCAGCCAGAAGCACAAGTGCCTTCCAAGGGCAGTTGATTCCAGTCCGGCTGCCTCCCCAGCTCACTTGGGACCTGGGCCCTGGGGCCTGGGGCCAGGGAGGAGTGGGGAAGGTTCTTTCTTTACTCCATCTCCACAGGTTCCAATAGGGGGTGGGTGGGGGGAAAGGGGTTAGCTGACGACCTTGCTCCATCTCTTCCCGTGGCGCTGTCCTGACCCGCACAATTGCAGCCAGGGGTTCCTCGCCACTGGCCAGCTTCCTCTGCAATGTGGACAGGTCACTACCACCTGCACTTTGAAGAGGTGAGCAGAGACGTGGCCGCTCAGCCAGTGAGCTAAAAACGTTCCCTCCCCCCTCCCTCAGAGGGCAACCAGCTGCTGGGTTTTTTTCCTTTTCTTAAGTCCTTTCTATTTGTTGGATACAGCAGTGTGCTTTTGGTGCACATTTTTTTTTAGCAATAGTTGTGAATTAATGGCAAAAAAAAAAGAAAAAAAAAAAAAAAAGAGAAAGAGAAACCTCTCCCAGCCGACAGTTGTGTGTGCTCGAGGGGCCTGGAGCAAAAGGCACGGCTTTGCCTAGGTTGCTCTGCCCCACGTGCCGAGCCTGGGGTGGCTGCACTCACCCCCAGCATGACTTTCTGTCCCTCCAGTCAAACCGTAACACCATTTCCAGAACATTGGAGTCTGCCATGCCAAAAGGGTCAAGTACCGTATTTCACAGTTGTATAGAATAAAAGCTTTAGTTAAAATATTTCAGTGTCTAGTACATGTTTATTTATGTTTTCATTTGTCACTTTCCTTCATAGCAGGTTAGAGAAAGAAACCTCTGGTTCAGTATTCACCCTGGAAGTAATTAGCATCAGTATCCATTTAACACCCCCCCCCCCCCGAGTTTGGAGGGTAGGGGACAGAAAGATGGGGAGGGGAAGAGCTAGGACCTCTGGGCAAGGGCAGCTTGAGGTCACACTGCCAGGCTCAGGCTGAGGGGAGCAGGCCTGGAGGCCTGGGCATGGGAGGAGGGGAAACACGAAGGTGGACCAGCAGACAGTGTGGGACAGGCGAGAGGGCACACAAGAGAAGGGGGCTCCTTCCCTCCAGTACAGATGGCGCTAGTAGAGCTACGTGAAGAGAATCTAAGCAAGCCTACAAAGTGACTGAGCCAATACCGACACTGTGTCCTTCCTCTGTCCCTCGTTTTCACACTGGATTGTGCCCACAGTCTGCACCTCCTGGGCAGGCGTGACGACAGCAGGCACTGGACCTGTGGGGTCCAGTGGGGTGGGAGCCAAGGATGCCCTCCCTCCAAGCCCTTGGCCTCCTCTCGACCCACTGGGGCTGTCCACTCCACCAAGCAGCAAAGCAGCCATTGTCTTCTGCCCAGTGCTGACATGGCATTTAACATGGTGTGCTACTCCAAGCCCTCTCCCACCCCCAGAGCACTTGAGACCCCCAAAGCAGGACTAGCAGGCTGAGTGCTGGGAGCCATCTCCTGTTGCCTGGAGGAAGGTCTGAGCAGACACACAAGCCCAGCCAGCTCCACCTGCCTGGCACTAGCAGCAGTAGCCTGGCCCAGGGAAGGCTGCACAGGGATGGGTTGGCCACACAGTGGGGCTGCCTGCCCTCGAGGTGTCACAGAGCCCGTCACAGCCCAGGGTGTGCGTCCGGGGTAGAGGGGTGGGCCTGGCCAAGCGGCTCCTCAGCCTCCGCCTGGCTGTCAGTACCCTCACTGTGTGCTGGCTCGTCCTCAGCCTGAGCTTCGAGCAGTTCAGCAGACAGCCCGTCTTCTGGGGACGCTGCAGAGGTGAGGCTGTCGGGAAGGCTTAACCGGGGCAGGTGGTCGGCCTGGGCCTGGGCCCCAGGGCTGTCTGGGAAGGACACTTCAAACTCTGACCCGGACCACGTGGCCTCACCTGAAACACAGCAGGGAGCTCAGGAGGCCTGGAGGATTAGGCCATGACTTGGGGGCCAGTCACCCCCACCTACCCCTGCCGCAGGCTTTAACGCCAGGCAGGGGGCCGAGCCCACAGACCCTTCCACTCAGAGGCGGGATTTGGGGCAGCCATGTAGCACCCTGGTGGGCTTCCAAGGGTGTCAGCCACTCACCGCCCCGCTCGTGAGAACTGGTGCTAGAACAGACATCCTCCGGCCCTGAGGTGGAGCTGGCCATGCCGGCAGATGCTGAGGGAGGCGGCAGGCTGGGCCATGCGCTGGCATTGCTGCTGTCCAGGAGCGAAATGCCGGACACGTCCAGAAAGCCTGTGGAAGGGAGCATGTCACTGGTCAGCACAAAACCCGGAGCCCGGCAGAGGCTGGTTCCCTGCTGCAGAGTCCATGGCTGGCCTGGGAGCCAGCCCTGAAGGTTTGCAGACTGCTGCTAGCCGTACCCTAGAATAGATGGGGTGCCACCGTCGGAGCATATGTAAAGTGTGCAAGGTCAGTGGGCCCTGGGGAAGGTGCTCTGGAGCCGGGGGGCCACTCTTCAGCACCAGGAGTCATGGGGGCCCCAGCTTCCAGGGTCTGCCTGTACCTGGGTCCATGACTCGCTGCAGTGGTGGTGGAGGCTGAAGGGAAGTTTCCATGGGGTAAGGAAGTCCTCCTCCAAGGTTAAGAGCACTGTGGCTGGGACTCGTAAGCCCAGGAAGCTGATCCTGTGGGGAGGGGTCAGGGGCCTGCAGCAGGGCCTAGGAGAAGAGAGGGGGGCCATCAGCGTAGTGCCTGCAGTCCAGAGATGCTGCAGTCCAGCCCAGCTACCACCCCTCCTGGCCCTGTCAGCCCTGCTCAGCTTGGTCTGCCCATTCCCTGCCTCTACAGGGGAGTGGTGTCAGACCACAAGGTCGGGCCTGGCCTGGTCTGGTCTCCCTCAGAAAGTGCCAGGGACCCACCTGGCCACCAGTGCATGCCAGAAACCAAAGGTGCCCTCAGGAAACCCACTCATGAGCCATGGAATCAGGGCCGGGGTGTCACTGCCCTAGGCAGAGTCTGTGCCTAAAGGCAAGCAGGACTCCCCTCTGGGTGCCCCCACTGGGTCCCAGAGCACTTGGGCGTGCCAGAAGCACAGCAGCCTCATAGACCCAAAGGAAGAGCTGCTGGAGACACTCCCAAGGGTGGCTTCCGAAGTCTTCATGTCCCAGCTGCCAGACCCCTCTGCCCATACAAAGCTCCCTGCTCCCCACCAGGTGCTCCCCACATACCTCTGTATAGTCACTCTGCCTGGAACCCAGCTCTGGGTCTGAAGACACAGGAAGGTCCTGGGGGGTGGGTCCAGGTGGTGAGGCATCAAGTATGTGGGGTTCAGGTGATAGAGTGCCAGGTGGTGGGGCACTGGGTGGTTTCCTGTGCCTGGGTGCCTGGGTTGGGATCCGGTGCAGATACCCGTAGCCAATGCCACACCCCAGGCTGCCAAAGACCAGAGGCACTCAGTGCAGGAGGCTGTCCCATAGCCCTCCCTACTTAACCACCCAGCCCTCCCTCTCCACCAAGTGACTCTCTAAGTCCATGCCCTCCCACCACAGCCATTCCACCTACCCCCACCCCAGTCCTGCATCTCTCTAACCCTGGGCAGTACCTGCCCTCTCCACCCCACGCCGCATTGGGAGTTACGGTCACCTCCCGGCAGGAGTCCGACTCGCAATTATAAACCATCAGCTTCAAGGGCTTCCCTTCGTGGGACTCGATGAGCGTGAAGAAGTCTTCAGACTACAAGAAACACAGCTCCTGAGGCCTGCTTCTGGCATACCAGATGGCCCCCTTGGGGCACCTCCCATCTGTGACTGGGGTCCCAGGGGAAGGGGCCTAAGCAGAGGCCACTCACTTCCTGGAGGATCTGGTCGGAGCCCACCACGTAGTCTGTGTAGGGGAGCAGGCCTGCAAGAGCGGCGGGAGAGGAGGGTTCCACGTCCTGGTATAAGAGTCACAAGTCACAAACCAACACTTCACACAGCTGAGGGCAGGAGAGGGGCTGGATGGCATGCCCTCTGGTGGGCCTCAGCATGCCAGCAGAGGGCAGCACTGTGGCATGCCATGGCTCAGCACTGCGGCTCTGGACTTTGACCCGGCCGGGCTGCCAGCTGTGGGACTGTGAACACATTACTGAACCTCCCTCTGGCTCAGTTTCCTCACAATTCAAAGGGGAGGCTGAAAATGAACTCACAGGGCTGCTGAGCAGGTGAGAGAACCCCAAACACTGATCACAGTGTGTTTTCACTGGCATGGCTGCTGCTGTGAAGGCACAAGCCCAGAGCCCCGGTGAGGCTGGAGGGAGGCAGTGAGTAAAAGCGGACATAGGGCTCGCTCCTCTCTTGGCATCTCACCCCTCACCCGTCTTGGCATCTCCTGGGCCAGTGGGTAGGGACTGTCACCAGCCCTGACTGCAGGCAGACTGCACATGGAAGAACCCTGGCCAGCCTCCCTCCCTCCAGAGGTCAGTGGGCCACAGAGGTGGCTGGAAAGCAAAGCGGCCACCTGCCAGTTCAGGACGGCCCTCTCGTACCATGCCAAGGGTCCAAGCACTGGAGAGCCTGGACTCTACCAAGGAGCACAGGGCTGTCTGTGGCCAGACATGAACACCCTGCCAGCTTAGTGGCTGAGAGTAACCGAGGCATGGCTTAGCCATCTAACGGTGGGGCGGGAAGCCAGCTTGTGCACGCATATGGTGTGCATGCGCAGATGCAGACACTGGCCACAGTGACAGCAGCCTGGCAGTGCAGCCACTTCCTGTGACCAAACCCCACAGGTGATGAGAAGCAGGACTCAGGGCACATGGCTCAGGAAGCCAGGGACTTGCTCTCTCTGGGTTGCTGGGGTGAAAGCAGACCCCACCCTCAGAATGCTCCAGACACCCACTGGCTGTGCTCCCTGGCACATCCCCACCTGAACCACCTTCAACTCCCAGGCCCCCGGCCCCATTCCCCACCCTGCACCTGTGTCTAGTACTCACCAGAACATGCCAGACATGCTCACTGGCCCTTCGGAAGCTGCAGAAGCGCACGCTGGCACCCAGCAGGCCCTGGCCGCCCCACATGTTGCTGGGCACCACCTCTACCTCGCGCACCTTCATGGTCTTCATGTTGAACACCTCCAGCTTCACGGGCTTCTCCACGTTGGCCCTGAGCAGTGCCTTCAGTGTGTCATTCTCTTTGTTCTGCAGAGGCAGTGTGGCTCACTCCCTGGGCCCCAAGTTGGGGCAACGTCCCGAGCAGGGCCAAGCAGGGGCTTGGGCAGGTGGCCATGGTAACCCCCACCTCCTGCCACCCCCATAAGCACTCCCCCAAGCAGCAGAGTCCTCACAGTGCCTTGCACAGCACCATCAGGTCCTACGGCCGGCAGGGGCTTTCCTTCAACAGACCCTCTAACCCTGGTCCCCCCAGAGTTCTAGAACCAGAACAGGGTCCCAGCCAAGTTCCGAGTGTAGCCAGGAGAGAAGGGGCCACAGGGTTGGTTCGCATCCCATACCAAACCCACAGGAGGCAGGACGGTGGGAGCCTCCTGTAGGACAAGGGGACAGGGGCACACGACAAAGCAGGGGAATGGAGGGGTGTCTCACCAGCCTCGAGTGCCCAATGGTGATGATGAAGTCGAAGTAAGGCTCCAGGCCCGCCTGCTGGGCAGGGGAGTTCTCCTGGACCTGTCCCACGGCAGAGCCCACAGTCATTGCCCAGTGCTGTGATGCCCCAGCAAGCTCCCTACCCCATGTCCTCTCCCAGACACAGGCGTGGGAGGACCCCTGCTCTAGGCACCAGTCAGGCTTTTCTCCTTCACTGCATCTGGTACCTTCCTGGGTACCAGCTTCCCTCTGGGCAAAACGGCTCCATCCCAGTAGGAGGCGGGGCAGGGTACAATCTTGGGGCTACCAGCAGATATCAGATACTATAGCCCAGCCCATTGGAATGCACCCCAGTGAGCTGAGCCGGGGCAGGCTGGAAGGCGGGAGGCACCAGAAATGTTCAGATGTAGATGGGGAGGAACCATTAGGGCTGTGCCTGAAAGGGGAGTGGGAAAAGCCACCTGCTGCCAGACCCCACCAGACCACCTTGACCTCAGAGTGGGCAGGGCCAGGCTCAGCCCAGCAGGTGGGGAGAGCCACTGCAGCCTGCTGGCAGACAGCAGACCCCAGGGGTTGCCTGCGGAGTGGGCAGTACCAACCTCCACAGCCTGGCCCTGGGCTGGAGACATCTCTAGAGCAGCTAGACCCCCTTCCTGGTCTCTGTCCCAGCTTCCATGCCCACACAGAACACTTCTTGGAGATTCCCTGCCCCTTGTGAACTTCCTGGCCTGTGGGCTGTGGCTGAAACCCATCTTAAAGCTCCCAACTGCCACCAGATGGTTTTTGTGCCAAGGACCTGGCCCTGGAGGCAGCCGCTGCTGTCTTCTTCCCATCTCCTCACAGGGAGACCCTAGGCTGCCAGTTCTTCTGGGTCTCTCCTCCACTTAAACCACCCCACCACAGGGTCCCCCAACCTGGGCCAAAAAGCTACACCTTCAGGACCACATGCAAGGTTCTGGGGGCGGGGGCTGGCCTCCTCCTTTTTCCCACCCCAGCCTCACCTGGGTACTGGCTACCCCTTCTGCCAGGAATGCTAATCCTCTAATGACCAGTCCGTCTCTTACTTCCTGCCCAGGCACGGGTTCTAATGATACTCGCCAGCTTCATCCAAAACAGCACTAACCCACCTCTCTTCCATTGCTTCCGGCTCCTGGTGCCCATAGGCGGCTGTGACTACCCACCTGCTGTGGCATCTTTGAGGTCTCCCGGGGGGCCTCCCACCAGGATCCATTACAGGGATGACCTCTTTTCTGCCCACAGCTTTTCTTTCCGGTGCCCAGAACTCTGCATGCCACGGCCAGCTAGCTGGAAAACGGCAGCCACTGCCCATGATGACCCCCCAACCTCTGCAAATCACCATCCTACACTCCCTCTGCCTTCGATCGAATCCGCGAGAAGGACGCTGGCCCTGTCTACACTTCCTGTCCTGGACCAGGCAAGCAACTGCTAGCAACACACCCTCTCCTTGCAAACACAGCAGCTCCATGGCCAGGCACCCAGGTACACACATCTGCGTCTTCGCACCAGGGGACTGGGGGTCAGAGACCCTCCCCGTGGCGTGGCTCTGACCCTCCATCTGGCCTAGGGAGGCCCTCTCCCACCGTCACACTTCCTGGGAGAGGCACCCAAGGGTTCTCTCCCCTGCGTCCCTAGCAGTTCTCTCCGGCCCATTGGCTTGGCCAGTCTTGGGCTTCCACCTGCCTCCCGCGGCACCTGCGTGGGGGTCGGGGGTCCCCAGGACTCCCACCCCGGACTTTGTGACGGACCATGGCACGCACAGGCCAAGTGCCCACGCGCGACCGAGACGGCCCTCGAGGGCTTTTCTCTGGTCACAAGCCCACAGCCTGGGTACTGGACGGGAGCAGGGTCGGTGGTCCGGACAGACCAAGGGTGTCAGGAAGTCCTCCGGGGCCGCGTCTTCGCGCGGCTCTCGCCAGCTGGGACAAGCGCCCGCCACGCAGGCGGCCACACCGGACAGGACACACCGCAGCCGCCAGCCGGCCGGGGACCAGAGGCGGCCGAAGTCAGCGGCGCCGCCGGCGGGAGGAGGGGGACGACTCACTCCGTGCAGGTGGAAGCCTTCGGTACCGCCGGCAGGTTGTTCGGTGCTGGCGCCCAGGCCCATGGCAGCGACCGGACTCGGAAATTGGCGTCCACCACCTCGGCGGGGCTGGCCCAAGCCAGCAGGCCAACTCGGCGCTCGATTACCTGCGCCTTTGTCACGTGGCAGTGTTGTTACGCCCTCTCCCGGCTCTTAGCAACCGGCCGGCAGCCCAGTTTCTAAGGACGCGCGCGCCTGCCAACTTCCGGCCGCGAGAGGCACACCCTGGACCCTGACGCGCGAGTGTGAACCGCGCCTTCCTCAGCCGACCCAGGAACTCGGATCCGCCCCCCCGGCCGGAGATGAACCGCAGTGACTCTTCCCTCCTGGTGCGTGACCTGGCTGCGCCCTCGAGGACACTGGGACTCTGACCGTGACCCCACGTCCTGACTGGTGGCCCGCCCCCAGCCAGTAACTGCAGCCATGTGGTGTGATTTCTCAGATTTTTTTTTCCCAATTGCCTTCTGAAGACCGGCTTCCACAGCCCTGGTCTCACGTCAGTCACGACCTGGTAGCCGTCCCCAGCCTCCTCCTAACTCACTTTTTGGCCGACCTGTGCCCAGGCCTGCCTGAGCCGCTTCCGTCTACCTCTGCTGAGATGAGGAGGAGTGAAGGAGCTGCAGGGAGGGCAGCAGATGACCAGGGAAGGGACTGGGCATGTCTGTAAGAGTTGTCTTCCTCCACGCAGGCCACCATTGTGTACTATAGCCAGGAAAAGTACTTCCGCCACGTGCAGCAGGCCGCAGCGGCGGGCCTGGAGAGATTCAGCAATGACCCCGTGTTGCACTTCTTCAAAGCCTACGGCCTCCTCGGGGAAGGTAAGGGCTGGGCAGTCTCCACCCCTGGAAGCCTCATCTACCCTAGCCAGTGTCTGGGAGCGCCCGGGGGTAGATTTGGTGGGAATGCCCTGGGACCTGCGTGTCTGCCCTCGCGCAGGCACTTGCCCTCAGGGCTCAGCACCCTCATGGATTGTGTTGGCAGAGCGCATCCAGGAGGCCATCAGCGAGCTGCAGAGCATGCGGAGTTACCCGGACGTGACCCTGTGCTCCGTCATGGCCCTCCTCTACGCCCACAAGTGCTGCGAGACCATCGGTAAGTGCTGCTCTGCTCAGCCCCGACTGGGAAGCAGGTGCATGCGCCAGCCTGAGCCAGGGTGTGTGCGGTGCCCCCTCTCCCGTGGCATGCCTGTGTGTGGAGAGAGGTCCCTCCTTCAGGGACCCAGGCATGGCTCCAGGTCCTCATTCACCCTCTTCTTCCACCCTTGGCTTCACAGACCGAGAAGCCGTTGAGGAGCTGGAGCACAGCCTGAAGGAAACCCGCAAGTCAGCCAGTGCGTCTGCGCGGTACTACGCCAGCCTCTTCCTGTGGCTCGCTGGCCACCCCGACAAGGCTAAGGAGTACCTCAACCACAGCCTGAAGGCCTCCAACGGCTCTGGAGAGGTACCGCCGCTGTGGGCCTCAAGGCTTCACCAGCCCCCAGCCTGGCACGTTTCTCCCATCAAAGTTTCTGTAACCCAGGGAGGCCACACTGAGGAATGGACAAGACCTTGGGTCACTCAAGTGCTCCACGCACCAGCTCACATGTCTCAGGGCTTGGTAGAGGTGGCCCGTTGCCATGTGTCTGGATTGTCGTGTCTAGATAGGGTTTTCTGTAGCCTACATGGTATGTTTGTCTCTGGTTTTAAATCCTGAATTAACAGCTCACATTTAGAAACCAGAAGTTTTTACCCAGCAGTCCAACTTCCCTGGTTGTATGTTGAAAATTCCAAATGAGTTGACCAGATTGGGCATTGCCTCCCTCCTGGGAGAAGGCGGAGGTTTCTAGATGGTTCATATGGTGTGGTACTGACACGAGGCGCCCTCACGGTGTTTGTGGAAACTCGGTGTGAGTCTCTAAAACACCTGAACAGGTATGGTCTTCTTGCTCCATTTTCCATGAACTTCTAGCAGGGCTCTCGCGTAATGCATCTGCCCCAGAGGTAGGGTTGGAAGCCTCCCCCTCTTAACTGGGCTGATGGCAGTGAGTGAGGACATAAGTAGATTCCTGGAGGAGCAAATGAAAAGAACGTAGGAAACACAACTATTGTATAGCACATCACACATAGGTAATCTGTGATTTTTTTAAGATTTATTTTTATTGGGAAGGCAGATTTACAGAGAGCAGGAGACACAGAGACAGAAGATCTTCCATCCACTGGTTCACTCCCCAAAGAGCCATAACAGCCAAAGCTGAACCAAGCTGAAGCCAGGAGCCTCTTCCAGGTCTCTCATGTGGCTGTAGGGGCCCAAACACTGCTTTCCCAGGCCATGAGCAGAGAACTGCATGGGAAGTGGAACAACTGGGACAGGAACCAGCACCCATAGGGGATGCCGGTGCCACAGGGTGCAGAATTAACTTGCTGGACCACTGCACTGACCGTACTCTGTGATATAGTTTCCAAAAGGGGGGCCCAGTACAATGGCTCAAAGGCTAAATCCTTACCTTGCAAGCACTAGGATCCCATATGGGTACATGTTCATGTCCTGGCTGCTCCACTTCCCATCCAGCTCCCTGCTTATGGCCTGGGAAAGCAGGAAAGGGTGGCCCAAAGCCTTAGGACCCTGCACCTGGATAGAAGACCCAGAAGAAACTCCTGTCCCATCTCTCTGTTAATATGCCTTTCTAATAAAATAAATAGTTGGAGGGGATAAAAAAATATATATATATATATGCATATATATATATTTTTTTTTTTTCAAAAAGGGCAGTGACTACAAAACAAATATTTGAAAAGGCTCCTTAAAAAATGATAATTGTTCAGGACAGGTTTCTTGCAAGTGCCGCCCCCCAACCCCACCCTCAGTCCCACCTGCCAGATCTGGCCTATCCCAACAGCCTGGAGAGGCTGAGCAAAGACATGTACAAGCACTAGGCCCATGAGCTCAACCTAGCACCTGCTCAGCCTCTCAGATGACATCCTTGGCTTCACACGCAGGGCCTGGCTCTTGCATGGACAACACAGCCCTGTCTGGGCCCCTGTGAGCTGGCCTGACTCTAAGTATAAAAATGGCCATGGTGAACTAGGTGAGAGGGCCTCAAGCAGGTGGAGCACCTGAAGGAAGACCTCCTCCAGGGGCCTCCTGGGTGGAGCTGTCAAGAATAGCAATGGTGCGGGCCCGGCACGGTGGCGCAAGTGGTTAAGTCCTCGCCTTGCACGCCCGGGATCCCATATGGGCGCCGGTTCTAATCCCGGCAGCCCCGCTTCCCTTCCAGCTCCCTGCCTGTGGCCTGGGAAAGCAGTCGAGGACGGCCCAGAGCTTTGGGACCCTGCACCCGCGTGGGAGACCCGGAAGAGGCTCCTGGCTTCGGATCGGCATAGTATCGGCCCGTTGCGGCTCACTTGGGGAGTGAATCATCGGACGGAAGATCTTCCTCTCTGTATATCCGCCTTTCCAATAAAAAAATAATAAAAATAAATCTTTAAAAAAAAAAAAAAAAAGAATAGCAATGGTGAATCAGATGCAGGGACTTGGTCTGCAGGGGGAGCTACAGGGCCAAGTGGTAGGTGAGCAGACGAGTGCTCAGGGCTGTGTGGAGACCGAGGGTTTTGTCTTTCTTGTCCCTCCCTCAGGACTCTGTGCTTAGAGGTTGGGTGGACCTCACCTCAGACAACCCTCAGGTTGTGAAGAAATCCATCAAGTACCTGGAGCAAGGACTGCAGGACAGCAAAGATGTGCTGGGGCTGATGGGAAAGGTGGGCAGTAGAGGATCCCTAGCTGGATCCCACGGGACCCAGAGAGGATCAACTGGGCTATGGGTCACCCAACAGCCCAGGGTCCACTCTAGTTCTCACCTTCGTTGCTGTGTGGTCTGAGTTTCTGTTTCATTTTGGTGGGGAGCCAGAGGTTGAGGGTGGGGTCAGGGTTCGGGGATGAGTGGAGTCCATTGCTTCCTTGTCCATCTGGGCTTTCCACCCTGTTCTCTCAGGGACCCTGCCCTATTCTGCCAGACAGTTGGTTACTCCCGGAGGCTGTCTCCTCAGTGGCCGCCTGCTTGAGCCCATCTGGATGGCGACACTGATGCTTGTTGCCCTCTGTGCACTTGATGACCTTACCCTCTTGGACCACGCCCCCTCACCCCTCACCCACCCTTGCAGGCCAGGTACCTTATGATGCAGTACAACTACTCAGGGGCCTTGGAGGTGGTGAACCAGCTCGCCGTAGCCTCTGCCAACTTCCTGCCCGCCCTCGTCCTCAAGATGCGACTCTTCCTGGCCCAGCAGAACTGGGAGCAGGTGGTAGAGACAGCATACAGGTAAGGGCGGGGCCCCTATACCAGCTGCTTCCTTCCCTCTAAGCCGATGTAAGGGCATTTCAGCAAGCTCATGGAAAATACCATTAAAGCATGAGTCTGTTTTGGTGCCCAAAAGCTTGAAACCCCACACATGGTAAGACTTCTTCCTGTGCTGCTTGCTTACAAGGCCCACTACAAAGATGACTGTGACCCAGCCAGGCAGGCTGGGGGAAGTAAAAATAGGATAGCTTTGGAGAGGGGGGAGGAGGGAGAGAATGGCTGAGAGCCAATCAGATACTCACCCGTGGCCACCCGAGGCCAGGAGCTGTAGTCTAAAATGAATCAAGAGACAGAGGTGCAAGTGTTTGGTCCAGCTGCTGAGAGGCCCGTTGGGAGTCTCACATCCCCTCTCAGAGCGCCTGAGTTTGTATCCTGGCTCTGCTCTCAATCCCAGCTTCCTGCTAAAGCACAACATGGAAGGCTCCAGCAGCCGTGGTTTAAGTAGCTGGGTCCCTGCCACCCACGCAGGAGGCCAGGATAGAGTTCCACAGCTCCTGACTTTGGCCTGGCCTAACCCTGGACTGTAGCAGTCACTTGGGGGAGTGAACCAGGGGCTGCGAGCTCTTTGCCTCCTAAATAAGCAATAAACAAAACAGAAAAAGCTGAGCTCCTGCATTTTGGTGTAGGTGAAATTTATCCACATTATATAAACATCTGTTTTTATTTTTTTTTTTAAGATTTATTTTTATTTTTATTACAAAGTCAGATATACAGAGAGGAGGAGAGATAGAGAGGAAGATCTTCTATCCGATGATTCACTCCCCAAGTGAGTGCAATGACCAGTGCTGTGCCGATCTGGAGCCAGGAGCCAGGAACTTCTTCCAGGTCTCCCACAAGGGTGCAGGGTTCCAAAGCTTTGGCCCGTCCTCAACCGCTTTCCCAGCCACAAGCAGGGAGTTGAATCGGAAGTAGAGCTGCCGGGATTAGAACTGGCGCCCATATGGGATTCCAGTGCGTTCAAGGCAAGGGCTTTAGCCACTAGGCCACGCCGCCAGGCCCTAAAGATCTGTTTTTATTTGAAAGGCAGAATTACAAAGGGAGTAGGAGAGAGACAGAGAGACCTTCCATCTGCTGGTTCACTCCCCAAATGGCCTCAATGATCAGAGCTGGAACATTCCTTCCAGGTCTCCCAGATGGGCACAGGGACCCAAGCACTTAAGCCATCCACTGTTACTTTTCCAGGCACGTAAGCAGGAAGCTGGATCAGAAGTGGAGCAGCCAGGAATCTAACCTGTTCCCATATGGGATGCCAACACCTCAGGTGGTGGCTTGGCCTTATGCACTACAACACTGGCCTCTAGTTTTGTTGTTGTTGTTGCTTTAAATCACAAGGAACACCCCAGGGGGGAAAGAGCATCAGTGACCTGGAGAGTTTTAGGGTCACCTCCACATGGGGTCACTGGGACTGGCGGGAACCGTGCATCCAGTAAAGGTGACCCGGGAACTCTGTGGACAAAAATATAGATAGGTTGCAGAGCAGGAGCATCTGCAGAAGGCTTTGTGATTAAGCCTTTTCTAGACAGCTGAAGCGTATCTCCTCAGGCCTGCAGCACTTGGTTTTCTCACAGTGATTTGAAGGCATAAAAATCCTCATTTTTCTCCCACAGAATCGTTGATGAACTGGGAGTCACCACTCTGCACTTGTTCATGAATTACGTGGTAGCGGGCGGGTTCTTCGGAAAGTTGGTGGGAAGACAGGAAAAGATGAATTCATGTTGGTGCAAAAAAAAATTGCTTACACTGATGCGTATTTTTAGAACACACATTTTCCATGAACTTTTGAAGAAGTCCCTCACACACAGCAGTTCTAAAAATAAAAATACACACACAACAAGCATGCAAAGACTGTCTCCTCCTAGTTCCTCTAATGAGAACTGGAACATGACCCTTTTATTCGTTTTTTTTTTTTTTTTAACTTATTTGAGAGGCAGAGAGAGTTCAAGCTCCCATCTGCTGGTTCACTCCCCAGATAGCCCCCATGGCTGGCACCAAGCTGGCAAAGGCGGAGGGAGAGCCAGGATCTCCACCCAGGCCTCCCATGTGGGTGGCAGAAGCCCAGTTTCTTGAACATCACTGCTGCTTCCCAAGCGTCTACATTACCGAGAAGTTGAACTTGAGAGCCGGAGGGCAGGCATCGAACCCAAGCACTCCTGATGTGGGACACGGGCATCTTCACTGGCAGTTTATTCACGAGGCCAGACTCCCTGCCTTGACCTAGAGGGGCTGGAAGCTGATGGAAAGACAGCTTGCCCTGGCCAGCTCACACGTGCCACATGTTCAGTGCCACTATGAGCCCTCAGCTCCCCTCTCACCGTGGAGACTTGGACAGGGTCCTGAAGGAGCTGGCTTTGGAGTCTGGGCCTCGGGCCAGCAGCTTACCCAGCAGTTCCTGGCAAAAGGCCACACCATGGGCATGCACAGGTTCTCCTGCCCTGGCTCTGGGCACCCATATGCAAGGAGCCAGTGTTTGATGCCAACAGGTCGAGTCTGGCACCGTACACCTTCCCTCATGGGAGCCTTCTTGGTTACCAGTGTTGCTAGGATTCTGTCTTGATTCAAACTCGACTCTGTCTGGGTGTGTTTCCTTTCATCCCTTATTTGAGGGGACTTCCAAAGTTCATGGAAAAGTGGGAGGAGTTTATTTGGGTACAAAAAGTTTGCTGTTGAACACACCTGCACAGCACAGGTATCACTTTCACCTGCTTCTCATTGGCCAAGACTTGGTCACATGACCACACTGAGGCTGAACTGGGAGCCTGGGAAATGTAGTCTTTATTCTGGGCAACCTAGTGCCTGGCTAATTTGGAAATTCTCTTGCTGAAAGCAGAGCGGGAAACAGGTATTAAAGGGCCTTCAGAAGTGCCAGCCTACCATCCCGATCTTGCTTCTTGACCTTCCAGTCCCTGTGGTTCTTCCCATTTCAGAATCCTCGAAAGAGACCAGAACAACATTGATGCCTACCAAACTCTAGCTGTGCATGAGCTTGCAAGAGAAGGAAACATGACCACAGTAAGTTCTCCTTAAGACTCAGATACTGAACCCCGGGACAGAGGGAAGAAGGAATCCCTGGTGACTTGTAAGCCTCCCCATCCTCAAGGCCTTAGAGGGACCCCTGGAGCCTTGCATCCCCCTTTCCACACCACTGGGATACCTGCTCTGATTGGCCCTTTGAGCTGTGTGGCTGGGAAACCTCACTCGGGTGCTGAGATTGATGCCAGGGCTGCTTCATGCTACCCTGGGCAGGTGGCTCTTCTGGGCTAAGCCTCAGGCACCTCACATGTCAGGCGGACATAGTTCCTCACAGCTGAGGTTGTGACAATGACTCCATGAGATAAATGGGAAAGTGCAGAACAGTGTCTGTCAAGCTGTGATAATCCAATCAGAGAGAAGGTGTCATGGTAGTGTCGCAGAATCCAGGACTTGGCATTTAAAAAATGTATATACATATTTATTTTTGTTTGAAAGGCAGATTTATAGAGGGGAAGGAGAGACAAATCTTTTATATTTCTAGATCACTCCCCAAATGGCTACAGTGGCCAAAGCTAGGCCAGTTCCAAAGCCAGGAATTGGGTCTCCCACATGGGTTCAGGGACCCAAAAAGTTGGACCATTTTTCAGTGCTTTCCCAGGCAAAATAGCAGTGTTTTGGGTGGGAAGGGGAGCAGCCGGAACTTGAATGGCACCCATATGGAATGTCCATGCTGTAGGCAGAGGCTTAATCTATGCCATGGCACCAGCCCTGTGGAAATGCCGTTCTGTAAGACAATGGCTGGAATTGCCCAGGCAATACCAAGTAGCACCAAGTCCCAGGCTTGTACTTAAGCCTTGGCATTTCCCAAAGAATCTAAGCCAGATCTCAAAAGCAGAAACACCTAGAATTCCTTTTTATTATTACTAATCTTATTTATTTTCACTTACTCAAAAGGTAGAGCAAGACACAAAGAGAGAAATAGAGATTTACTCACCAAAGGTTTGCAATAGCCAAGACCGGGCCAAGCTAAACAAACCTAGGATTGCAGAACTCCACCTGGGTCTCCTGTATAGGTGGCAGGGGGCCGAGCACTTGGGCCATCATCTGCTGCCTTCCAACATGCATTATTAGCAAGAAGCGAGATGGAAAGCATAGCAGCCAGGGCTCTTTTGACTGGCACATCCCATGTGGTAGCTTAACCGACTGCACTGCAACACAACACCCACTTCTAGAATGTACCATGAAACCTCAGTGCTCAGATGTGTTGTTTAAAAAAAAAAAAAGTTTGTATTTTTAGCCGAAGCATCACCTTTTGAATAAACAAAGTATATTGGTTTGTGGAGAGGAGGGCACATTAAGAGTCTCTAAGGGGTCCTCGTGGGAAGAGGGAACTTCTGGTTTCTTCTGAGATTGTGGGTTTTGTGGGGTGGAGTGAGTTGGAGCACACAATCCGTCTTTAGAAGGAGCTCTCAGCGAAGGCCCCAGCCCTGCCTCTAGGTAGGAACCAAAGAACGGATTCATCCTTAGCACTGGGCAGGCCTGCTGGGGTCCAGCCTGGTGGTCAAAATCCTGGGGTGGATTTAGCACACAGAGCCAGCCCTTGCTTCACCTCCACCCCTATGCCCACCCGTCCACCAGGCTACGCCTGGGATCCAGCTTCCTGCTAATGTGCCTTGGAGAAGGTATGACAGCTCAGGGCTCAAGGACTTGGCTTCCTATCACAGCTGTGCTAGAGCCACATGGAATTCCCAGCCCCGGCTGCTATGGGCATCTGGGAAGCAAGCCAGGGAATGGAAAAACTCTGTTCTTCTTGCTCTCCTTCTGTCCTCCAAGTAGATGGAAATAAGCATTAGGAAAAACAAAACAAAACCAAAGCCCAATAGTCCCTTATCTGCCTAACCCTCTGCCTCCTCGCCTTCAGTGTGGAAGGTTTGGGCAGCGACCCTGACCCACAAGGCTGTTGAAGGGTGTTCTGTACTGATGGAAGCACCGGCCAACATGGTGACCACCACCAACAAGGGGCCAAGGCCTTGCACCAGCCCGGATGGTCTGTTGCGGGCCTGACAGGCTGTGGAGTGGACACTGTGCGACTCTTCTCCTGACTCTGCCTCCTTAGATCTCACAGGGTAGCTTCTCTTCCCAGACTCAGAGTCTGAGGGGGTAGCTCAGGAGTGAATGACATCGCAGCAAGCTCCCCCTATGGGGTTTCAAAATAATTCTTGGGCCGGGGCCATGGACTGCAGTCTGGTTGAGTCTGATTCTCTTGTGTGTGGGTGTGTGGTAGGGAGAGGATGTCTTGGTGTGAGCATTTAAATCTCCCAATGGATGCTGAAGCACAGCCAGGACTGGGAGCTACTGCCCAGTTCTTCTGCATTTGACTATTTCCTCTGTTTTCTCCCGGCAGGCTGTCGAGCATGTTAGTAACCTGATCATAGCACTGGAGATGAGAGAGCCCCAGAATCCAACCCTGCATCTTAAAAAAATCCTTGTGGTCAGCCGACTGGTATGAAGCGTCGCTCCGTTTCGGGAATGGTGCATTACGCTGCTGTCCTTTGGAAACCTCTGCTCCCCTGAGAAACTCCCCTAGCACCTGCTCCTCGCCTTCCATTCCAGATCCAACACCTCCCAGCCTCCCTGCCTCCAACTGGTGCCTGCCTACAGCCTTGTGGACTTAGACGTCCCTCCTGGGGTCTTAAGGCACCTGATCTGGAGAAAGAAGGTGGGGTCTCAGTAGAGCCACGCCCAGCTCTAGCCAATATTGATTTCCCCAGAAGCAACCTGGGACAGCTGCTGGCCTGCTCAGGTCTTTCTGCCATCAAGGAAGGCCCAAGCTAGAGAAGGTTATTATTCAAGGATCTGTGTCTTTGTCAGACCTTGCAGGCCCAGACCAAAGCTGGCTGAGAACCAGAGCAGCTCTGGGGGATCAGGGACCACCAGAAATGTGGCATGCAAGGCAGCCACAGGGAGGGGATGGCCAACCCTGGGCATAAAAAGCTCCTCTCACCCAGCTCTGGGCTTTGAAAAACCTCCTTGTGAGAGTCCTTGCACCAGTTTACTGTAGCCAGACAGGGGGAATAGGTCCCTTGGAGGTCCCTGTAGCTGGAGCCGGGTTCCTGAGCCTACCCAGTTTTGCCAGAGCGCCCCCTCCCCTCCAGCCCCATTCTGTGCCCTCCTTTATAGTGGGACTCCGCTGAGGAGGTCTGGACAAGCTAGATTACCCTTCTTCTCTCTCCCTCCTCCCCATTCCTGCAGTGTGGGAGGCACCAGGCTGTCCTCCACCAGGTGGGGAGCTTCCTGGAGCGCATCTTCCTGGCCAAGCCCTCCTATGCCCAGGTGGCCACTGAGCTGGGCTACCTCCTCATCCTGCGGAATCAAGTGAAGGAGGCATTCCTGTGGTACTCCGAGGCCATGAACCTGGACGGGAACAGCAAGGCTGCCCTGACAGGTCTGTGCTTGCTCCGGGTATGGGTGTGGGGTCAGGGTAGGGGGACAGTGGAGTTGTTCTCCGTAGAGGATTTGTGAGTGTAGGGGTTCAGCATGTGATCCGAAGACTTCCCACAAGCGTAGGTGTGATCTACATGGAACCGTGGCTGTCCAAACGGATGCTGCTGGAAGATTGGCAGCCTGACCCTTGTCCTTGCTGGGCCCTGCCTCTGCTCAGAGCCAGTGTTGGAGACTGTTCCACTCCCTTGCCCCACCAACATACATTCACTCGCACAGGCACGTGCACACCCAACTCACAACTGTGCACACATATACACTGGTATGCACTCACAGGCACACTTACACGCCTGACATATGTATACACACAGGTACACTTACTCATGCACACTCACACACACACACACACACACACACACACACACAGCCCTCAGATACCTCCCTCCCAGATCCCCTAGCTGAAGGGCATCAGACAGTCAGTTGGGGAGTTTTACTTCCCTGTCTGTCCAGATGTGATTTTTTTAATCCCTTCTATAAATGTCAGATAATCTTCCAGATCCCCATTTTCATTTTGCCCGTTTTTTTTTTTTCCCTTCCCCAAAGTACCCCAACATGCCACAGTCCCAAGTGTATTCTGAAATAGCTGCATTGGGCTAGCGGCCAAGGAAGCCACATGCTACAAGCCTGAGAGCTGGTTTGCTCCTGCCCCAGCTTCAGGCTCCTCCTCCACACAGTGTAATTGTCAGCATGGGTGCTCATGGCCTCCAGCAAACTGACCCCTTAAGACCCATGTCCCTCCTGTATTCTCAAATCCCCCGAAAGTGGTGACATTTTGAAAATTTAACAAATTCATCATGACCCAGAAACATGGGAAGTGCCTTATGAGGGTGGGAAACTTTGGAGAACTTCCTGTTTCTAGAAGGTGCAGTGAGCTCAGTGGTCTGAAACTTACGGACACTCTTAAGTAGGGCTTGGGCAGAGATGGAGCAGCTCAGGAAACATCTGACCTGCTTTTACCCGGAAGAGAAGTTTGGGGTCACCATGTTGCACGTTAAGCATGAAGTGAAAAGACCCTGGGAGAATGGGTGCTGCCATGCCCGATCCAGAGGTGGACATCAAGGAGGTGCCCACTCACGTGGGCCTTGAGCCACCCAACCCCCACCCCGCTCCTGGCGACTTCCCACCTTCTTCAGGAACCTAAAGAACAAAGCAGACCTAACTGTTCCACACAGAGCCACAATCCCCTGGCATGTTCCCTGGGCCAGTCTGAATCCCTGCCCACTTCCTCATTTAAGGGAGAAACCCCAATGATCAGTCAGAGGAAAGTCCAGCACCCAGAGAACCTGTGTCTCTTACCCCGGCCCTGGCCCTGGCCCTTGCCCACTCATGTGCCCTTGGGTCACCAGCCTATCTGCTCTGGCAGGACAACCAGCGAGTGACCTTGAGGATTTGGGAAACCTGCCTGATGACAATGCTTTCCATTCTGGTCCTATATCACCAGATCATCCAGCAATCTGAAAGAGTGGCCCGAGGGGACCAGACAGGGCAGTAGCCCTCAGAGCAGCTGAGTTAAGCCTGGATGCATTGAAGACTTTGCTCCTCTGAAACACATTCGGTGTGTTTGGCTAGCCTACTGTACTATGAAAGGGGCAGAGAGAACAAAAGAACATTACTGAAAATGGAAAACAGCATCATGGAGGGAAAGATCCTGTAGGCGGGCCAATCAGTGGGCTGGGCTGTTTGCTGACACGCCAGGTGGCAAGTAGGAAGACGGTGAGCAGTTAAGCATTCTGGACGCAGCTGGGGAGGGTCTGTGAAAGAAAAGTAAGAGGAAACGAGATCGGTCCTCTCAAGGTCAAAGCACAGCACAAAACTGCAGAAACTCAAGTCAGCTTGAGCCCAGTGCTAGGTAAGATCAAGAAACACCTGAGACACGGGCGTCCCCAGTGCAGAGCAGCAGGCTGTTCAGCGACTTAATTAAAAGTCAAGATCACTCCCTACCTCACACCACTCAAATTCCCAGTGTTAAGTGTGTCAACATGAACTTAGAAGATTTTTAAAAACCTGATTAAAAACTCAGAAGCTGCAAAGAAAAATGTCCTATTTATTTGCATAAAAAACTAGAAGCTACCAGATTAGCTAAAGACATGGTAAAAATATACATAGATGGTCTAGAACAATAGCTCAGTGGCTAAACCTTCATCTTGTAAGCGCTGGAATCCAATCTGGGCACCGGTTTGTGACCTGGCTATTCCACTTCCCATCCAGCTCCCTGCTTGTGGCCTAAGAAGGCAGTAGAGAATGGCCCAAAGCCTTGGAACCCTCCACTCATGCGGCAGACCCGGAAGAAGCTCCTGGCTCCTGGCTTCAGATGAGCTCAGATCCAGCCCTTGCGGCCATTTGGGGAATAAACCAGTGAACGGGAAGATCTTTGTCTCTCTTTCTTTCTGTAAATCTGCCTTTCCAAATAAATAAATAAATATTTAAAAACAACCAAACAAATAGAACAGTGTTGAAGGGAACATGCCCCAAATGGTCAATAATGATTTCCACTGGGGACTGTGGGAGAGACACTGTTAAGCCCAGAGCATGAGCGAGGGCCGTGTTTTCTGTGGAGCCCTGTGACTTGTTTTTATTTATTTATTTCCCTGCAAATGCTGTGTTACACTCTGAGTTTGTGAAGCTGTTGGAAGAGCTCTCATGCCCTGGCACTGTGCCCCTCACTTCCTTCCTCTGTCTCCCCCAGGCCCATGAGCCTATGACTAGCTGCTCCCTGCTCTAGAGCTGGCCGCTCAGCCTTGTTCTGTCCCTTCCCAGGGATCATCTGGTGCCAGATCTTGGAAGGCCACCTGGAGGAGGCTGAACACCAGCTGGAATTCCTGAAGGAGGTGCAGCAGTCCCTGAGGAAGTCTGAGGTCAGAGCTCCTGGGGAGGCGGGAAGGAGTGTCAGGGGCCGGGGAGAGTCCCTGGCATCGTGTCCCCTGCCCTCTTGCCCCTGCGTGCTTGCTTCCAACAGAAAGCAGCCAAGACGGCTGGGATCTCCACTTTGCCCAGGTCGGCCTTGCCACTGGGAGTGAACCTTGCTTCCACAGGTACTGGTTTTCCTGCAAGCTCTTCTGGCATCCAAGAAGAACAAGGGGGATCTGGAAGTCACAGCGCTGCTCCAGGAGGCTGTGGAGCTCCACTTCAGTGGCATTCAAGGCCTCCCTATGAGCTGCGAGTACTTCGAAAAGCTGGACCCCCTCTTTTTGGTCTGTGTGGCCAAGGAGTACCTGCTCTTCTGCTCCAAGCAGGTGAACAGAACATCTTTCGGCACAGCAAGGGCCTGATGTGCAAGCTGAGGTGCCGTAACTGAAGGGATAGGGCACAGTCCCCAGGCAGGTGGAACCTTGGAGGGCAGGGGGTTGGGGGAGCAGCGGGTCTCAGAACATGTAGCACACAGATCACCTGGGAAGTTGTTCACGCAGACTCTGGTGGTGAGACCCAAAGCCTTTCAGCTCTAATAAGCTCCCAGGTGATGCTGATGCTGATACTGCTGGGCCCAGGGACCACACCCAAGGAGCAGGTGCTGCTGGCCCATGCCCCACCTTTACCTTACACTAGACCTTGGCTCCATTTCCTTCCGAATCCTCCTAGGCAATATGTTAGCCTAGACTGCTTATCCCACTTTCTTAGCCAGTTAAGATCCCTCGTGGACAAGGGCTACATGCTCACATCTCTTGTCTCCCCTCCACGCCAGGCAGGGTAGCACTCAGCAAGTGTCTGCTAAGTGGTGTGTCACTGGACACCAGGCCTTGTTCTAGGCACCGAAGGGACAAGGGTGGATGAAGCAGGGTCCCCTAGGAGGAATGGGTCACCGGTCAGCGGGGGATATAGTATATATGTGTCCCATGTTGTCTGGTGTTTTCCGAGATGATCTGGGGTATTTTTCAGTCAGTCCCCTGTGCTTCTGCAGCCCCGGGCGCCCGGCCAGATGGTGTCCCCGCTTCTTAAACAAGTCGCCCTCATCTTGACTCCTGTGGTCAAAGCAGCGCCCGCTCTGATGGAGTCCATGTATGTGATGGCGCAGGTCAAGTATCTTTCGGGTAAGCAGTGGATGCTGGCAGCCAGGTGGGGCTGTATCTTCTCTGTTCTTCTGTCCAGGCACCTGCTGGGATTTCTGTTTCTTCCCCGCCCCTCCCCACCCCCAAATCCCTGCCCACAGATGTATCTACAGAGTCCCTGCCTGGGAAACTTCCACCACAGGCACACTGGGCCTCTCACCAGGCCTGCCCACTCCCCCAGAAATCTGACCCTCCACCAGCAGGGGTCTGCCCTTTGTGTCTTGCTAACCTGACCTGTGCAGCTTATAGTTACTGAATTGGGATAAAATGGTACTTCAAATAGTGGGGAAAAAAATCCCTCATAACACTTGCATTTTATTTCCCATTTACCTGGTTTATTTTTAAGAAAATGGATTTCATATATTCCTACTTTTGATTTTTTAAAAAAGATTATATTTATTTTTATTGGAAAGTCTGATTTACAGTGAGAAGGAGAAGCAGAGAGAAAGATCTTCTGTCCACTGCTTCACTCCCCAAGTGGCTACAACAGCTGAAGCTGAGCCAATCCAAAGCCAGGAGCCAGGAGTCACCTCCAGGTCTCCCATATGGTTGCAGGGTCTTAAGGCTCTGGGCCGTCCTCAACTGCTTTCCCAGGCCACAAGCAGGAAACTGGATGGGAAGTGGAAGAACTGGGATACAAACCAGCACCCATATGGAATCCCGGGGCATGCAAGGCGAGGACTTTAGCCACTAGGCTACCATGCTGGGCCCCATTTATCTGTTTTAAATTGTTTATTCATTTGAAGGGCAAAGAGCTAGAGATCCCCCATCCACTGGTTCCGTTCATCAATGCTCACTATAGCCCTGGTTGGACTGGGGCTGGGATAGCGGCACTTGGAATCCTGGGGTTCCATCCGGGTGAGGGTTGCAGGGAGGGTACAGGTGTGGAGCCAACACCTGCTGCTTCGCAGAGTGTCAGGGCAGAGAGTACAGCAGCTGTGGGGCTGTGTGTCTAAGAAGGTTGATTGGGAAGGATTCAGGACCTCTGGGAGGCTACAGCTGTGTCCTTTCAGCTTTCATCTCTTGAAACCCTTGCCCTGGTACCTGGCTCTCCTCACAGACACTCCCTGCTCTGTAGGCTGCCCCACTGCACCCCTTCACCCCATCCAGTGTCCTGGGTGCATCCAGGGGATGCAGAATGCCATGGCTGTGGCCATCCCTCAGCACTGCCCTGGGTGAGATCTCCCCCAAGCCCTGTCTGCAGCCTCAGCCCTTCCTCTGCCCATCTTGGTATTAGGCTCCCCACCCCCGCTTGGAGGTCTCCCAGGGACAAGGCCAGAGAGGGAGGAAGGGAGGGAGGGTGGAGTGTCACCAACAGTTTTGGGGCCAAAGCACAGACTCCAGCTGCTTAAGTTGCCATAGTGACCTCTTTAGGTTTCCACAGCACACAGGAAAGGAGCAGAAGAGTCTGGGAGCTGGCTGCAGGTTCTCCCCACACACCAAGTTATTGGACCGCAAGCAGAAGCTGCTAAGGGATGCAGTTGTAGAGGGAGGGGGCTCCCCTAGCAACACAACACATTCTATACCTAGGCTGGCTGCCCCCGTGCACCCCCAGAAGCACCAGCCTGGCATCAAGGCAGCTCCTCAACCCATGGGGCCTGGGGCTCAGAGTTCAACTGGGCCCAGTTGGAATGCCCACCGTGTACCCTCCCAAGCCAAGTGTACCCTGCATCAGTGGAGCCACAGGCCTCCCATCTAATAGATATGGACAGATGTCATCAAATAAGACATTCTTGGGGCCTTCGAATGTCGCGTACAGAGCAAGTGCTTAAGCTGGCTGCCAGCACTGCCATTGTTACTGTGTTTTGTCCTGCCTCTCCAGGGTGGGGATTAAGGTTTAAGTGGTCCCTGGAGCTTCCGGATGGAACAGCGCAGTGACCAAACCAGCTTCCCCTGAGCCCTCCAGGACCCAGTAGGTTGTCCCACCTGAAGTTGGGTTTCCTAGCTTCTGTCTGAGTCAAGGCAGGAACTGTAGCAAGTTTCAGTTTGAGGCAGGGAACTGAGCCAAGCCAAAGAGAACAGGGGGGAAATGCCCGGCGTGGCTGTTGCTGAATAAGAATAAGAACTCCATTCTGCCTCTGCACCTGAGCTCTCAGGAGTCCCAAGGAGCCCCGCACCCCCCCCTTCAAGGAGCAGTTTCTGTGGTGTTCCTAGGAGAGCTGGAGAATGCGCAGAGCACCCTGAAGTGCTGCCTGGAACTGGACCCCACCTTTGTGGACTCCCATCTCCTCATGGCCCAAATCTACCTGGCTCAAGGCAACTTGGCCATGTGCTCCCACTGCTTGGAGCTGGGCGTCAGCCACAACTTCCAGGTGGGAATCTTTTGTGCCCTGTATCTGCTCAGTACCCCAAAGCCCAGTTGGCTATAGCCCATACTTGCCCCAGCCCCAACCCACCCCTCACTTGCTTTGGTTTCTCTTTCTGGCCCAAAGGGGTAAGGGCTGACCCTGGAGGCTTTCTTCTGTGGCTGTTGTTTTTGTTCCAGCAGCAGAGGCCAGCTGGAACCCTGCTATGATCTCCTTAGGTCCGAGACCACCCCCTGTACCACTTCATCAAGGCCAGGGCACTCAACAAGTCTGGAGACTATGCAGAGGCCATCAAGACCCTGAAAATGATTGTGAAGTTGCCCTCTGTGAAGGTGGAAGAAGGCAAGAAGTGCCGAGGGCCCTCCCTGCAGCCCAGCGAGCGAGTGTCCATCCTCTTGGAGCTGGCGGATGCCCTCCGGCTGAACGGGGAGCTGGTAGGCCATGGTGTGGCCTCTGCCCATGGGTCTGGGGCATGTTGGAAGGCAAGGTTGCTCTGGGAACCCAACTCTTTGGTTCTTCCCTTGCATCTTATTCATGCTGTTATTTGAGCCCTGGTCCACCAGGGAGCATATGTCTTCTCGGCCCTTAAAGGCTTGGGTGACTTCCGTTGTCCTCAAGATAAGTTCAAAGCCCAGAGGGTCCTGTGCCAGGCCTCTGCCCTGTCCCCATGAAGATCTCAAGGAGGTGAGCCAGACCAGCAGGGCTACCACCCGGGGATGATACAGATTTGACATTGCATACCTTGCAGTATCGATCACCCAGTGACCTCTATGAACCATATCCCATTGGAGGAAAGTAAGTAGAGAAGGACCTTCCATCCATAACCAGAGTAGGAGACACCTGTGTACAAGAACAGTTGATTCACAGAGTCATTGATTGGGTCATTAGTTACCCAGGAACTCCCTCCCATATGCCAGGCCTGTGACCAGAGCTGGACCCAAAGGTGAAGAAGCCAGGGAGGCCCCTGCACTTTCAGAGGGGACCCTTGACTGGAGCAAGTGGGAAGCAAGTGCTTGGCATGGGAGCCTGTCTATGCTTGGAACTTTCTGGGCTGGGGATGTGACCACAGCATGGGAAAAGCAGGGGCATTCCTAGAAGAACCCAACTCCCCTCCCCCCCCGGGAGAAGGGCAGGGCTGCTGGACAAGAGCCAGTCCAGGGGCATATGAAAGAGGAACTGAAAGGAGCTGGTGAAAAGCCCGAAACACACATCTGTGATGGTGAAATGAAGTAACTTTGTGTATGCAGTAAAATGGTACTCTTTGTAAACAACCAGGGAATAGAACCCATACTGTCTACACACACACACACACACACACACACACACACACACATCTTGGCAACCTCGGCCCGGGGCTAGGCCAGCAGAGGTGCAGGCCTAGGTTTAACCAAGACCATAACCTGGTAGATTTTAGTGCCAATCACCTTAGCCCAAGAACAGCTTGACCCAAAGTAGGAAAGTACCAGAGGATGTGCCATGGGCCAGACCTAGAGGGAGACTGCCAACAGATGGTGAGGTTCTAGAGGACAGTCAGGCTGTTACAGATGGAGGTTTCTGTACCCCAAATTTAGCCAGACACCTTCTCCTGTCATCCAGGAACAGTGGCCATGAACTTGAGAGATATTTGCTGCTTCCCAAGCTGCCCTGCTGGTCAACTCAGACCATCTTATCCCTGATTTCCCATGCAGCTCCCTGCTTGTGGCCTGGGAAAGCAGCAGAGGATGGCCCAAAGCCTTGGAACTCTGCACCCACGTGGAAGACACGGAACAAGCTACTGGCTTCAGATCTGCTCAGCTCCAGCCATTGTAGCCATTCGGAGAGTGAACCAGCGGACAGGAGATCTTCTTGTTTCTTGTCTCTAAATCAGATCTGCCTTTCCAATAAAAATATCTTTTTAAAGATCTATATATTTTTATTGGGAAAGCAGATTAGATTTACAGAGAGAAGGAAAGAAAGATATTCTATATAACTGGCTCTCTCCCCAAATGGCTCCAACGGCCCGAACTGAACCAGTCTGAAACCAGGAGCCAGGTGCTTCTTCCAGGTCTTCCACATGGGTGGAGGGTCCCAAGCACTTGGGCTATCCATCCTCTACTGCTTTCCCAGGCCATAAGCAGGGAGTTGAAATAGGGCAGCTAGTACATGAACAGGCACCCATAGAGGATACTGGTGCCACAGGCAGGGGATGATCCTGTTGGGACACCATAGCAGCTCTGTGAAATTTTTATGTTACAGCATATCAGGTTAAGCCTTTGCTTGGAACGCCCACACCTCAGAGTGCTGGTTTGAATCCAAGCTATTCTGCTTCTCTTGCAGCTTCCTCCTCATGCATCCTGGGAGGCAGCAGATGATGGCTCAGGCATTGGGGACATCTCTATATTTCCTGTCTCTATAACTTTACCTTACCAAGAAAAAGAAATAAATCTGGGGCAGGAGGAGTTATTTGTATTCATTTTCTTTGAAAGGCAGGGAGGTAGAGATAGGGGGAGAGCTTCCATCTGCTGTTTTACCCACCAAATGCCTGCAACATCCAGGGTTGGACCAGACCAGAGTTAGGAGCCCAGAACTGTATCTTGGCCTCCTGAGTGGGTGTCAAGGGTGCCAATAACGAGCTATCACTACTGCCTCACATGGTGTGCATTCGCAAGAAGCTGGATCTAAAACAGAAGAGCTGGGCATTCAAACCAGGTCTTCTGAGAGGGTACACAGGTGCCCTGAGCAGTGACTTTAGCCACTGAGTCTCTCTCCACATGCTGTTCCTGGGAGAGAGGAGTGTTCTAGGTTTCCCTTAGAGGAAGCGTTAAGTGCCATCAGGCTGCCTGCAGGCTGGTGATGGTGCCAAATGGAGGGTCCATTTGTTTGGCATACCGGCAGCACGAGGCCACCAAGGTCATACAGGATGCCATCAACGAGTTCAGCGGTACGCCAGAGGAGATGCGCATCACCATCGCCAACGCGGACCTGTCCCTGAGCAAGGGCCATGTGGATGCAGCGCTGAGCATGCTGAGAAACGTCACGCCCAAGCAGCCCTGCTACCTGGAAGCCAAGGAGAAGATGGCCGACATCTACCTGCACACCCACAAGGACGTGAGCCTCTACGTGGGCTGCTACCGGTGAGCACCTCCTGCACGCACAGCCCTGGGGAGCATTGCTCACGTGCTAGCTGTTCAGCATGGCATTTCCCATGGATTAGAACGTGACAGGCCTTTGAACCCTGCTCCTGGAATCAACCCCGACCCCAACCCCCTCATCACCCTTTGCCTGGCTTCCATCCTAGTGGGAGAATGTGGGTTTGGCTTTCAGAGCAACCAGGAGATTGCGTCTCCATGCTGGCCACTGGCCCTGCTTGACCTTGAGACGTCAATGATGTGGATGACTACAGGGAGATAGCCAAGGAGGCAGAACAGGCACCTGATGCCTCCAGCCACTGTTCCTTCCTTGCTTGGTCTTAGAAGGTGCCTTTCCAGTCCTTTCCTTCAGGAAAAACTCCAGTTGGGTGATATTGGGTGGGTCGGGGAAGGGAGCATGTTGGGAAGGAAGGGGGAGACTACACGCAGTGGGAAGAAGCCCACAGGCAGACAGCAGATGGCAAAGTCAGTGTGGCTGCCTCCTGGACAGGGGTTCTGGAAGGTCAAGGAGGGGAAGGGGGTTAGGCCGCAGCCTTTGCCACTACTGCAGGGAACTAGTACAATGCCTCATGCCCTGGGTTTCCTGAAGAATTGCGTGATGGAGGAGGAGCCTCAGAGTTGGTAGAAAAGGAGGTGACAGAAAGATGAGGGATTCCTTTTGAGTTGTCTTGTTAATTTTTCATCCGCTGATTCACTCCCCCAAATGGCTGCAACAGCCAGAGCTGAGCTAATCCAAAGCCAGGATCTAGGACCTTCTGGGTCTCCCATGTGGTCGCAGGCATTGGGCCATCCTCTACTGCTTTTCTAGGCACTTTAGCAAGGGGCTGGATGGGAAGTGGAATAGCCAGGGCTTGAACTGGTACCCATACAGGATGCTGGTGCTGCGGGTGGAGGATTCACATGCAGTGCCCCAATGCCAGTCCTCCTATTTTGTTGGTTTGTGTATTTTCAAGCACACTTGTATCAGTGAGAGTGCATCAACCTCACCGAATGTGAACAGTGTACAGAAAAGTAAGGAGCACATTATGGGAGAAATGGGAGAGATTGCTGAAGGACTTTGTTGGGAGGAGGCGGGTCTGTTTTTCTTCCTTTTAAAACCTTTCTTCTTCTTCTTTTTTTTATTTCACAGACATATAAAAATGGTACATAGTTCTGGGGTGCTATGGGATGCACTGTGTCGTTTCCAATCAGGGTCACTGTATGTATCTTTTCAGACCTTGACCATTTCTTTGCAGTGAAGGTATCCTCAATCCCATCTTCTAAAGTTTTTGAAAAGAAAGAACTGTACAGTTCATGATTTGTACCCAGCCCGCTGTACAGTATAACCCCAGAATGTTTTAGTCCTGGATAGCGCTAGTGTAGTCCTCATCCATCAATCTGTCCTTGGCCTACACTCCCTCCCTGCTTCGCGGCCCAGACCCGGGAACAACCCCCCACCCTGCCCTTCGCTGTGTACCTTCTGTGAGCTCTGGGTCCCTCTTGCAGCGAGCTCTGCGAATACCTGCCTGGTCCCCACTCCAGCTTGCTCCTGGGCGATGCATACATGAGCATCCAGCAGGTGAGTGAGGTGCCTCTCAGTCCTGCCCAGTGACAGTCCCCAGCCTTGCTTCTCCAGATGGAGTGAGGAGAAAGACACCTTCTCCCACCCACCCCCCTACTCTTCCTACCAGCCCGAGAAAGCCCTGGAAGTCTATGAGGAGGCGTGTAGGAAGAACCCGCAGGACGCTTCCCTCATCAGCAGGACCGGGCAAGCTTACGTGAAAACACACCAGTACACCAGGGTCAGGCTGGGCTGGGCCAGGGGATGGCAGGGCAGTGGGCAGTGGGGTGGAGGGGTGCCAGACTGAGGTGCACCCTTCTTAGTCCCCTGGCGAAGGGGGTGCCAAAGTCCATGCTGCATCCCACACAAAAGCTCTGTACCCACTGGGAGAGCCTTCCTTTTTTTTTTTTTTTTTTTTTTTTTAATCTTAGCTTTGAGGTTTTGCAGAGGCACACGGGTGTGGGTGGCTGCCAAGGGCAAGGTGACAGTCAGACAATCAAGCATTCGGTGGGGACCCAGACCTGAGGCCAGCATTTCCTGTTTGTTGACACGAAGGCAATTAACTATTACGAGGCTGCACAGAAGATGAGTGGGCAGGACTCAGTGTGCTGTGATCTCGCCAAGCTGCTCCTGAAGCTGAAGAAGTTCAGCCGAGCAGAAAGAGTTCTGAAGCAGGCCCTGGCATGTGATGGGGGTAAGGCTGCAAGCTAAGAAACGTCACCTCCTACTCCCCCTGCTCCAGCCCTCCACAGGCATGCTGTACCATCCTATCGCTCACCCATGGCCCCTGAGTCCCACTCCACCGACAACCCGGCCTCCCAGGAACTGGAGAATACTAAACCTGAGTTTCCATTTAGCAGCCAAAGACATCCCGTCCATGGTCAAGGATGTTGAGTACTTGCTTTTGCTTGCGAAAGTTTACAAGAGCCATAGGAGAGAAGATGTGCTGGAGACTTTGAACAAGGTAATGGACACGTGGCCTCCAGCTGGTCATGTGCTAGTTCCTGTTGGGAACTTGGGCAAATCTGGAAGGTCCCAGACCTGTTCTGGCCTGCCATTCATCCCTCAAAACCCCCCATTCTAGACTCCTGCATCCAATGACAGTAACCAGAGTGCTCCTGGCTGGGCTGGGCAGGGCAAGGAAGGAAGGCAGTGGTGATGATGGTGATCCTCGCACCAGCCAGCCCTGTGCCTTGGAAGCTCCCAGAAGCCTTTGGAGTTCAACACTGTGACATCTACACCTAACAGAGGTGGCTCCCAGAGTTGAACAGGGTGCCCAACATCAAGTGCCAACAGGTGGTAGAGCTGAAATCAGAACTAGGTCTAGCTTGTCCAACCCACGTCCTTTCATGGGGGGATGCCCCGGCATTCCTGGCACATCTGCTTCGCCTTCTCTTCCCAGGGGTCTGGCCTTACACTTGTTCCTGGCATGCACCCAGGGCGACAGAGAGTGGTCTTCCTTCTGACCACTTGAGATTGCCATCGCCCCTGCTCACCACTGGGTTCCCATCCCTCTGCTTAGCCCTGCGCGAGCCAAGCACTGAATCACACCCACCTACTGCAGCTTAACCCAGGCATCTTTGCAGCCTCTTGCCTCTTACGTGCCTGATCATTTTATGCCATGTGTATTTGTGGGAGGCCCCAAAATTCCCAGCAAGACAACACATTCAGAGCAGATGCATCTGTCAAAATGTAGCCTAGACGCATTGGGCACCTGCTGTGTGCTTGCCCTAGCCTGTGGGGCAGCCGAATGCAGTGAAACACAGCAGCAGAGGTGCAACAGAGAACCAGGCCAATGGGGTGACAGAGTGTCTGGTCCCAGTGCCCTTGCCTTGGTTCCTGCCCCAGGTACGGGAAGGCATGCCAGCCTGCCTCCTGGGTACTCAGCAGGTGCCCTTGCCTATCCAGAGTGACCCAAATTCGTCCAAGGGTTCTGGGGTTGCCCCTTTCTAATCCTGTGTTTTGGAAAGAAAGGCTTGAGGCTTTCTCAGCTGGCCCCTCAGTCCCTGAGTTTCCAATCCAGGGCTCTATCGATTTCCCCAAGGCAATGGACGTCCAGGCTCGGATACTGAAGCGGGTTCCCCTGGAGCAGCCGGAAATGCTGCCCTCGCAGAAGCAACTGGCCACCTCCATCTGCATCCAGTTTGGCGAGCACTACTTGGCCGAGAAGGAGTACGTCAAGGCGGTGCGGTCCTACAAGGAGGCCCTGTCTTTCTCACCCATGGATAACCAGGTGGTTGGCGCTCTCAGAGCTAGACACTGTTCCCTTCCATGGGACACAACCCCTTGCTGAACCCCTAGCCTGCCCAGGGGGCCAGGCCTTGCTGTCCCTGCACAGGCCAGCAGCAGTTCCCAGGGTGAGGGTCCCGCTCCAGTTGAACCACGTCCTCACCCACTACAGCCCCTGCAGTGAGACTCAGAAGGCAACCTGCAGACAGCACCCTGTGGAGGTTGGAGCAGGCAAGATGGTGCTGACAGTGATGAAATTTCCTGGTCTCCCTGGGGAGGCAGGGAGGCAACGGAGGCTGTGGCCCCCAGTGTTCAGGTTCTAAGGTGTTGTGAAATTGTGAGGAACAAGTGGCTCCAGGCCAGGGGATAGAGGCTGCAAGAGCTGAGGGACAAATCTGACAAGTCACTTAGTGAACACTCACTCAGTTTGTACCAGGAACTGTGCTAGGCTTGGTCAGAGTTGAACAAGATATGGCCCCAGGAGAGCTCAGGGTGGGCCCAACAGCATGTTATGCATGACCGGGTATCTGTCCTGATACTAGAGGATAGGGTACTCAGACCAAGGGACCCAGCTGTCTCCCCGATGAGCGAGGCCAATCTGGGGCTGGAGGTGGGTTAGTTAGTGGTTCACCTTGGATGTCTGTGATTCTCACCATGAAGAAGAAGGGGAGGGCTGGCGGGGAGTGGGGGGCGGTTGCGGTTATCCTGGGGCATTCTGAGACTTACTTTGAAGGCAGGGGGCCAACAGAACTGGAGCAATGAGCCACTGGGGGCCATCCCAGGATTTGCCCCGCTCAATGTTCACGTGGTGGGTCTGTCACACACCCCCCCACCCCCCACCCCCCGCCTTCTCCCAGGTGATGCTGGAGCTGGCGCGGATCCACCTGCTGCAGGGGCACCTGGATTTGTGTGAGCAACAGTGTGCCGCCCTGCTGCACACAGAGCAGACACACGAGGCCGCGGCTGTGGTAGGAGGCCCCTGAACCTCCTCTCCCCGTTTCTCTTCCTTTCGCTTCCCCTCCCCAGGGTCTCTGTAACCTGGAGTGAGCTGTTTTTTAGCCACCTATCCTCACAAACTTTTGTCAGCCCCCCTCTGAGCTGCCCCTTGCTCTTCAGCCTGGGGAAGCGGGCTGGCCAGCAGGGGGCAGCAGCAGCCTCCCAGGCCAGGCCAAGAGGAGAACAGTGAGGTTGATTCACTCCCAGGAAGAGGGAGGAGGTGAAAGCCAGGGCGGGACAAGTTCCTGCCTTTTTTATGCCTGTCACCCCAACCTTTTGAGGGGAGAGGGGGAACCCTTGCAGGGTTGAGGGGGTCCCTGCTATCCATACTTGTACCACCCAAGTTAGCTGTTCTAGAGAGGAAGTGGAGAGGCCAGCTTTGTGTGTCAAGACCCAGCTGGGCTCTACATCGGGCCTCACCTTCCTTCACTCAACCCAGCATCTCCCTGCCCAAACCCAAGCGCATCTGCCCATGTAGTGCCCACCTCTGTCCATTCCTGTCACCAGTTCTCCCAGAGCCTTAAGGGAGTCTGTCCTTAAGTACTTCCTGACCACCCCTTCTTACTTCACCACCACCACCACAGTGCCCCTCTCCTTGCACACCTGTGCATGCCCATGCATACTGTGCTCGGGCATCCCGCAGCCAGCCTGGTGTGTCTTCTCATAGATGATGGCCGACCTGATGTTTCGAAAGCAGAAGTATGAAGCTGCCATCCACCTGTACCGCCAAATCCTGGAAAAAGTGCCAGGTGCTTCACTCACTTAGCCTGTTGCCACATGGGTTTCCACCCAGCCAGGGCGACTCTCTGAGAGAAGGGTGGGCCCTCTCCCCTCCTTCCTGACCTGGCAGAGGAAGCCCCTTCCTCTCTCTGATTGTTCCCAGAGAGGCAGGAAACTGATAAAGACCCAGTGGAACGTGCCGGCCCTTCCCAAGACCAAAAGGCCAGTTCCTGGTCCCTAGCACTTGGCACCAGACCCAGGACAGCCTGTCTGTCCCCAAGTCACAGCCACCAAAAGCTTCCCCCAGTCCCCTACTGAAGTCACCACCTCCTGGATGGAATGAGAAGTTCCCTGCCACCATGTAGCTCCATTCCCGCAGGGTGGCCACGGACCTGGCAGGCCACAGTGGCTAGATGTGTGGGGCCAGGCTTACCAGGCTGTGAACACTGGCTGGTAACTTCACAGCTGTAGAAACTCCAGCAAATGACTCTGTGGTTCAGGTCTTCATCCTGTAGTTAACCCTTTCTGTCCTGATGACCTGTAAGCATTGCCATCCATTGTTAGATGGTAATGTTGCTGTGTCCATCCCCTGCCCCCTACTCGCTCAGCCCACCCTGGCAGTGTCCAGCCACCTCCAGGGGCCACAGGAACCCCTTCTCCCCCCTTGCTGGACCTTCACACCTTTATGCCTCTGATCTTGTTTCAGACAATTTCTCTATATTGGATAAACTGATCGATCTGCTGCAGAGGAGTGGCCGACTTGAAGATGCTCCTGCCTTCTTTGAGCTGGCCCTCAGAGTGTCCAGTCGAATACCTTTGGAGCCAGGGTTCAATTACTGCAGAGGCATCTACTGCTGGTGAGCTCAGGATGCATGGGTGTGTCAAGGGGCAGGTGGCTGTGGGCAGGGCAGAGCAGCTGAGTCGGCAGCTTAGCAGAAGGAAGCAAGGAGCCCACAGGCAGGGGATCCAGCCTCTGGGCATGCACCTCTGGGCCCTTGGTCTCCTTGATTCATGGTGTTTCCCCTCATTGCAGGCACATAGGACAGCCCAATGAAGCCTTGAAGTTCCTAAACAAAGCACGCAAGGACAGCACTTGGGGCCAGCGTGCCACCTACTACATGGTGCAGATCTGTCTGAACCCAGACAAGGAGATTATGGGTGGAGAGGCTTTTGAGAATCTGTCTGAGAGCAAGTAAGGGCATCACAGTGGGGAGAGGCAGGGGGAGAGGGCTGTGAGGCAGGACCCTTGGGGAGGCGGAGGAAAAGCCCTTGACTCCCTGGGCTGGTGGCCAGGTGGACAGATGTGCACCCTGTGCCCTGCAGCTCTGCCTTGAGGAAGGAGTTGGAGCAGCAAGGCCTGCGCACAGCTGTGAAGCTGCTGCTGGAGTTTGGCCCACACACGGCCACAGCCCACACCCAGCTGCGGCTACTGCAGAACCTCTGCCTGCTGGCCACTAGGGAGAAGGCAAACATGGAGTCAGCACTGAGCACATTCATCGAGATGGCCCAGGCTGAGGTGCAGCAGTGGCAGGCATGGCCAGGCGGGTGGGCAGGCCGTGGGATGAGGGCGGAGGGGGTGGCAGGCAGGGGCCCAGGTGAAGACCAAGGCCAGCTTTCCACCTGCCTCACAGAGGGACAGCGTTCCTGCCCTACTGGCCATGGCGCAGGCCTACATGCTGCTGAAGCAGATCCCCAAGGCACGCACACAGCTGAAGCGCCTGGCCAAGGCTCCCTGGGCGCTGCCCGAGGCCGAGGACCTGGAGAAGAGCTGGCTCCTTCTGGCCGACATCTACTGCCAGGGTGGCAAGTTCGACCTGGCCTCGGAGCTGCTGCGGCGCTGCTTGCAGTACAACAAGGTGAGGTACTGCCTATAGCAGGTGGTGGGGGTGGGTGGGGGGACAGTAAGGGGACAGGCCCGGGGATGGTGAGTGACCTCAGGAACACTGAGCAGGAACCGGATGGAATGGGAATGAGAGAGACCTATCACGGCAGGATTGGGTGACAATGTAAGGCACAGGAGGAGACAGAGGAGGACCACAGCAGGGAGGAGGGAGCATACAGGGTTTGGGCCAGACCACGGGGCCTGCCTAGGTCAGAGCGCAGCACAGACAAGGGCAGAAGGGACAGGAGGGCTGTGCAGACGGGGTTGTGGCAGCATCAAGGCAGCAGAGAAGGGAGCACCTGGCTCATCCCTCGGCACAGGCGGGGTCCCTGGGCAGCTTGACTGGACTCAGCTCGCAACCTTCACACCCACCCCACTTCAGGCCCCATCCTGCACCTGCCCCGATCCCCACCCCCCACCACACACACCACCAGAAGGCTCTGCTGGGCTCTGTTTTGCAGTCCTGCTGCAAGGCCTATGAGTACATGGGCTTCATCATGGAGAAGGAACAGTCCTACACGGACGCGGCCACCAACTACGAGCTGGCCTGGAAGTACAGTCACCACGCAAGCCCCGCTGTGGGTAAGAGAGGGAGGTGGGCGTCAGGCCCCCACACTGACCCTCAGGGCACCAAAGAGGGGCTCCTGAGCCATCAGCAGGCCAACGTCTACACTCCTTCCCACTCCCCAACAGGATTCAAACTCGCTTTCAACTACCTGAAGGGCAAGAGATTTGTGGAAGCCATTGAAGTCTGCCACAGCGTAAGCCCCTCCCCCGCTTCTAGGACGTGAGATGGGAGGGCACAGATGTATGGGTGGGGACCCCCTGCCTGAAGCTACACCCCCGTTCTCTCTCTCCCCTCAGGTCCTGGCAGAGTACCCCAACTACCCCAAGATCAGAGAAGAGATTCTGGCAAAGGCCCAAGGGTCCCTAAAACCCTAGCTGTGGTCAGAGAAGGGCCTGGGCCAACAGAAGCCTTGCCAAGGGCAGGGCAATAGGTGGGCAGAGAAGGGGGGATTCGGGAAAGGGTGTGTTCCCCCATTTCGAAACCGTGTGTGGCTTACCTTGAATCACACCTCACCTGCTTTAAGGGGCATCCCTGAGTGCCACTTTTTTTAAGATTTATTTTTATTTAAAGGCAGATTTTACAAACAGAGAAGGAGAGACAGAGAAAGAAATCTTCCATCCATTGATTCATTCCCCAAATGGTCATAATAGCCAGGGTAGCGTTGATCCAAAGCCAAGAGCCAGGGAACTTCTTATGGGTTTTCCATATGGGTGTAGGGGCCCCAAGCACTTGGGCCATCCTCCACTGTTTCCCCAGGTCATAAACAGGGAGCTGGATTAGAAGTGGAGCAGCTGGGACTTGAACCACTACTCATATGGAAAGCTGGAACCACGGGTGAAGGCTCAGCTTGCTGTAGCACAGGACTGGCCCCAAGCTTCACAATTTTAAAACACAAAGTCATTTTTGAGCTTCTGTAGGGCTAATGGGGCACTTCCCCCACAGACTCTGGGAGGGGCTCAAGTGGACAGAGGTGCCCCATCCACCATGGTAAAGTGCAACGGCAGTGGCAGCTCACAGACACCTGCCAGTGGCTTTTCTTTCCCTCATTGGAGCAGGCTGTCATGTCCTTCCCCGTCCTGGTCGTCCTCAGCATCCTTCAGGGGCTAAAGTGAGGACACTGCTCCCTGGGGCCGGGCCGTGCTACCCACCAGGCCAACCTTGGCAGTGGGCCCAGGCTGCCATGGGCAGAGGGCCCAGACAGGAGGGCCAGCTGCATGAAGCCCCCATAGCCAAGGTTGCAAGGGCCATTGTCCCGCCCTGGCTGTTCAGTTTGCTCCTTCCCTTCCCCATCCCCCTACTCGGGCTTCAGCTGGCTTCTGCCAGTCCTCACCAGTCGGGGCAACTCCAACTCTCTAGGCCTGGTGCAGAGAAACACGGCCCAAGGAGAAACCATCCCCACTTCAGCTTTCGCAAAAGGCCGAAGCCAGCTAATTCACCCTCCAGAAAGCCTCTCCTTATAGCCCAAAGGGGCGCCCCCGCATAGATGAATAATGTCATTGTAACTGGCCAGGGGTGGCAGAGGTCACCTTCCCCGTGTCCCAGTACTGCTCTTCCTGTTTTTCAGGATGGCAGTAATGGGCCTGTCTGGCCTCCGGGGAAGGAACTCTGGAGGCCTAAACTCTTCCCATGTGACCTCCCCTCCTCTCGGTCTCCATCTGTGGCGACCGGATGTTGGGCCAGACCTGTGTCTCAAATCCTAGTGCAAATCTCTGCCACCCTGTGTGGGGTAAACATTCCACAGTTGGTTAACTATAGGTCCATACATTATTAATTTTGCACGTTTTTATTTGAAAGAGACAGCATGCTCCCATCCATTGGTTTACTCCCCAGACACCTGCCACTAGGCTAGATGATCTCTGGTACCAGTGGCCCAACTCCTTGAGCATTAGCAGGAAACTGTAACAAGCCAGAGTTGGGAATTAGACCCTGGGACCCCAACTTTGGGTGCATCTTTGCCACTAAGCATTTATGCCTGCTGTACACCGTTTTTATGTAATGGAAGAAAAAAAAAAAAAGAAAAATTCATAAATTCATGGGTGCTGGTCTGACTTTCCAGTGATGTAGAGTTAAATACGTAGCCCAAGTAGAACTTAGAGCGGTGTTTTCAAGCCAAATGACCTGTTGACTCAGGTCTGGAAACCGTCAGCGTCCCTTCAAGGCCGTGTGATCTCTCCTGGAGACTGCCAAGCCTTGTTTAACACCACGCGGACTGCTGAGCCTGCTGGCTAGTTCACTTCCCAAATGGCCATAACGGCCAAATCTGAGCAAATCTGAAGGCAGGAGCCAGGAGCTTCTTCTGGGTCTCCCATGTGGGTGCAAGGTCCCAAGGCTTTGGGCCATTCTCTACTGCTTTCCCAGGCCATAAGCAGATAGCTGGATAGGAAATGGAGCAGCTGGGACACAAATCAGTGCCCATATAGGTTCCTGGTGCATGCAAGGTAAGGATTTTAGCCACTGAGCCATCACATCAGGCTCTGGTATGGTGTGTGGGTGCAGGTTCAAGTCCCAGCTGCTCTACTTCCAATCCGGCTCCCTGCTAGTATGCAACAAGTACTTGGGCCTCTGCACTCACTTGGGAGAACTGCAAGAAACTCTGTTTCCTGGCTTTGGCCTGGTATGTAAAACCCCCAATTGTTGCAGCTCTTTGAGGAGTGAACCAGTAGATTTCTTTCTGTAACTTTACCTTTAAAAAGAAAAAACACAGCCTCTGTGTGTGTGTGTGGGGGGGGGTGCCCCTTCAGCACCTGCCCCCATACCCCACTCTTCTCAGCACCCTACAGATCCTTCCTAAAGGTGAGGATGGCCATTCTTCTCAGGCTCCCAGACCAGGGCTTCCCAGGCAGGGTGCGGCCTGCTGCTCTGGCCCACAGCTGCTGGGGGACAGGTCCAACAGGTCTGGCTGGTGTAGACCGATGAAGCTCTGTGGCTTCCGGTGCTTCAGTCCCCAGGGACCCCAGCTGCTGGGTCCATGACCAAGGTCAGGCCTCCACCAGCCACAGTGGGAACAGTTTCACCCTGAGCCAGCCCCCAGCTCAAGAGGGTACCTACACTCCACCCAAGTCCCACTGCTGCCCTGGGCAACCAGTGGAGAGGAAGAGGTTAACCTGCAGAAACTGCTCCATCTGCCAGGCTGGCCTTGGCTGGCTTCCTGGCTCCAAGCTGACTGGAAGGAGGCCCAGTGGGCCAGGTGCCCCCTCAACCTGCTGCCTATACTAGCCACCCCTCCACATACCCTCCCCAGGGTGCACCTGCATTCCCCATCTCTCTGATGCAAACCACACCACTTAAAAATAGTCTCTTTATTGGTACCTGTAAGTTCAGGTACAAGGTATTCCCACAAGCACACAGACTGGCAAGGCCTCCTGGGCAAGAGGGCAGGCCCAGAGACTTGGTTTCTTGGCACAGACACACAGAGAAATGAATAAATTACAGTTTTGACACTCAGGGACAATACAGAAATAACAATGCAAAATTCATCTGAAAAGGGACATGAGAGTCTAAGGAGCCAACTACCCACCACCTGGAAACAGGCAGGTGGGCTGGGACGGAGTGGGGTGCCCAGAAAGCCCTGAGATAAGTCCAGGGCATGCTTTGTGCCCCAGGGCAAGTCCCTTGCTCTCTCTGGGCCTCCCGCTTTCCACTCCTCCATCATGGGAATAAAGGACATGGCCTTTGGGGAGCAAGGGAGCTGGGCAGATGGCAGGAAGCAGAGAGAGCTGGGTGGGGCAGAAGGGAGTTTTGGTCACAGCTGGTGAGCCCATCTCCTGCTTGGCTTCTGTGCAGGATCCAGGAGGGTGACACATGATCACGGGGCCTCCAATTCACACCTGGTCTGCAGCAAGGGCCAGGCTCCGGACTCCAAGGCAAAGAGACTTGTCGGGGCTGGTAACCACCTTGCCCCTGGCACTGCCCTCTGCCATCAGAGTCTAATAAATTATGGAAATAAATTAGTCTTCACAGTCCAGAGGATATAGCCACCCTGAGGGTCTAGGGCTTAGGGTGGCAGAAGCAGCCACTGGAAGCGGCCGGATGCAACCAGGTCTTGGGGGCTCAGGAACATCACGCAGAGACCACCAAGGGGTCTGCCTGCCAAGCTCCAAGAACCACCATCTTCTCTTCTTCCCACTGCGCATACGAGTGGTGGAAGGGCACTGGTGGGTTGTGGGGAAGCCCCTTCCCTCATCCCCTCTTCTGTACAAAAGAATGAAGAAAAAAATAAATAAATTCAGAGTGTGGCATGAAAACCAGGGGTGCCCAGTCAACACCTCAGGGCTGAGCCAGCCAACCAGAGCCTTTTACCTCTAGACCTTGTTTTGGGGTGGGGGAGGTCCCCCATGTTAGAGAATAGCAGCAATGGTGCTCTTGGGGCCGGGCACCCCCGCAGTCCTCACACGGGCACAGGCTCCATCAGAGACGCCGGGGCAGCATCCTCAAAGGGACTGTCTACCAACGGGGCCAGAGTTTCAGCACTAGGCTCCGACAAGCCCATGAGAGACTCAAGGAAACATGTGCTGATGTCCCCAGGCGGAGAGAGGCTGGGCAGAGGGAAGTGGGGGGTCTCAAGGTGGTCCAGGCTGTCAGAGACCTTCTGCAAGGTATAGTGAGGTCCCAGGCTGTAATCAGGCAGGGCCTGCAGCAGCTCAAACGAGTCGCAGGAAGACAAGCTGAGGTCCACTGAGCTGCTCTGGGCAGCATCCACGCCAGGCGGCACTGCTGTGCCAGCTAGACCGCCCTCACTCAAGCCCTGCGGGTCACCATTCAGCAAGCAGCTGGCATCCAAGTTGGCGTTTTCATCCAGGATGCCCGATGGGAAGCTACAGCCTGAATAGATCTGAGTCCAGCTGGCCAGGCTACCAGGGTCACCCGTACTGAAGATGTCAGACGGGTGGAAGCAGCTAAGATTGTCCAGGTGTCCCACGCCCACTTCCTCCTCCTCCTCCTCCTCCCCTCCGAGGTCAGAGTCACTTAAACTCAGGATGCGGGCCAGGCTATCATCATCCACGCCGGTCTGGAAGCCAGAGCCAGGCAGGCCTGGGTGGGTGGGCCGACCAGGAGCCTCACTGGTGCCGGATGCCGTGGAGGAATCGGTCATGTCGCTGCTGCAACTGTTATCTCCCAGCTCACTGCTTATGGGGGGCTTGGCCAGTGGGAAGGAGGGCACGAGCGCTTCGTCAGTGGGGTTGGCTGGGCTGCCTTGGGCAGGGGCGTCCACCTCGCCATGGCTCTCAGACCCTTGCTCCAGCTGCAGGCGGGTGAGCGTGTGGATGAAGTGGGTCTGAACTCGGGCCTGGTTAAACTCCACCCGGCCATTGGGGTTCTCACAACCCTCCCTGCAGCAGCCACAGGGGAACCCCGTGTGGTCCATCTGTGAAGAGAGAACAGAGACGTAAGTAGGTGAGGCCTCAAAGACGTGCCCAGCCCCAGGCCACCCCCGCCATCATGTTTCAGTCTCATGCCCGCACCTGACACTTGATGCCCGCTAGGCTGCAGCTGCACGTCTCGGGGTCACAGACCCTGTCACAGTGACAGCCACAGTCCTCTCGGGACCGGCGCAGCGCCTGCAGCTCTCTCTTCTCCTCACGGTCGATCCTGCGCACACCAGCAGCACGTAGCAGGGCCCGCCGTTGCCGGGCCGGGTAAGGCTGCAGGCAGCTCACTTCTTCCAGCCGGCCGCTCGCCACGGCCACTGCCAAGTCTTCCTCCACAGAGGCATCGTCGATGCTGTCCACCGTCAGTGGCGGACCTGCCTCCGCCGCCTCAGACACACCAGCCGTCGACAGCTGTGTGCACAGCAGAAGGGAATGTGAGGGGAACAGGCGCTCAACACAGGTTTCCCCTGGACTACCCGTGTGCTGGGTACGGTGGCCACAGCAGAAAGCCAGCCAGCCAACCAGCCAGGCACATGTACATAAAGCTGTTCTATTCACTTCCACAGCAAGCCCACTATCCCAGCTAGACATTCCCCACCCGCCCCCTGCCTCCATGTCACATCAACTCTCCACCCTCCTCTCTAGTAAGGTCAGGCTGATTCACATTCAACACTCCCCACGCCTCCCCCTGCAAATAACCGAGGCAACCAATCACTGGGCTTGTGGCCTGTTTCCCATACACGTCAAGAGCCAATGTAATAGCCACTCCTGCTCAACCCCTCCCCTCCAGGCTAGGACTCCAGGAGCTACATGCGGAGGGACCCCCCTACCTTCCACCGCAGCACCTCCAGTTTCTCCTCCTTCAAGCGCTGCCGCAGCTTCTCATGCCGTGCCCGGGCCTGCTCTTGGGTGAACTCTGCCAAGGAGAAGCGGCGGCAGGCACTGTGGCGAGATGTCATGCCCAGGGTACAGCCACCACGGCCTGGCACACTGGTGAAGCCCTGGCACCGAGGGAAGTAAAAGACGGTAATGCCATCGAAAGCCACACGACCTGAGCGTTTCCGGGGAGCCCGCTTCAGGATGGACAGAGCTAGAAAGCAGGAAGAGACAAGTTAACCTCCAGAACCATACCATGCTGTCTCCCAGGTCCCCCATCCCACTTTAAGAGAGCAGGTACTGGGCCCGGCTCCGTGGCCTAGCCTTGAATGCGCCGGGATCCCATGTGGGCACCGGTTCTAATTCCAGCAGCTCCACTTCCCATCCAGCTACCTGCTTGTGGCCTGGGAAAGCAGTCAAGGACGGCCCAAGGCTATGGGACCCTGCACCCGTGTGGGATACCTGGAAGAGGTTCCTGGCTCCTGGCTCTGGATCGGCATAGCATCGGCCGTTGTGCTCACTTGGGGAATGAATCATCGCACGGAAGTTCTTCCTCTCTGTCTCTCCTCCTCTCTGTATATCTGACTTTCCAAAAAATAAATAAATCTTTTAAAAAAAAAGAGCAGGAGCTGAATTCAGTGGCCAGCCCAGGACAGAGCTGCTCAAATGGAACACTGCACCCATGTCAACACTGGCTTATTGTGATTCACTAATTCAACTATAAGTACTTATATGATTAAACATATTCCCGTCTTGAGCCATCTATTGGTTCCTTGTCCAACTTTTAGTTATTGATTTGTAGGAGCTCTTTGTATATGACATCAGAGAAAATAATCTTCACTCTCCAAAAGGTCAGTGATATGCTGATCCAAAGCTGGGAGCTGGCTTCTTCTGGGTCTCCCATACGGCTAAAGGGTCCCAAGGACTTAAGCCATCTTCCACTGCTTTCCTAGGCCACAAGCAGGGAGCTGGATGGGAAATGGAGTAGCCCGCGTAGAGGATTAAGCCTGCTACACACTTGGGGAGTGAATCAATGGACAAAAATCTTTCTTTCCATCTCTCTCTCCTCTCTGTATGTCTTGACTTTCCAATAAAAATAAATGAATATTAAAAAAACAAGAAACTTAACAGGAAAAACTAGCGCTGAGGCTTGGGATGGGTAGACCACCCACTGCAACACCTATACTGGAGCGCCATTGAGTCCCACCTACCCTGGGTGTGGGCTGTGGACTCCAGCGGCCCAGGCTATGGGTGTGCGCTGCAGCGATGGAACTGGACAGAAGGGGCAGTCCCTGTGGGAAGGCCCATGCGGCCACTCAGTTGACACAGCTGTGTCCTACACCAGAACTCATAAAGTCCAAGGTCACGATGGCCCCTAGGGAGTCCTGGAGACAAGGTGGGAGCCAAGCATTGGGCTTCAGTCGCAGGGACCCTAACCCTCCAAGAGACCAAGACAGCTCAGTCCAAGGTCTTCTGATCTAATCTTTCAAAAGGGGAAATAGCCCAGTGTGATGGCTCAATTGGCTAATTCTCTCCTTGCAAGCACTGGGATCCCATATGGGCACCAGTTCAAGTCCTAGCTGCCTGGGAAAGCTGTAGAGGATGGCCCAAAGCCTTGGGGCCCTGCACCCACATGGGAGGCCCAGAGGAAGCTCCCGGCTTCAGATTGGTTTAGCTCTAGCTGTTGCAGCTACTTGCAGAGTAAACCAGTGGACACAAGAACTTTCTGTATCTCCTTCTCTCTGTATATCTGCCTTTCAAATAAAAATAACTAAATCTGGGGGGTGGGGGGGGAAGAAGAAGAGGGTCGTGTGGTTTCCAGGGGGAGACAGGACTCACGAGTGAAACTCCGAGGGCTGCAGCAGTTGCGGGCGGGTGGGGGTGTCTGGTCCCAGGGACCCTCCTCATCTGAGTACCATGCCGGGGGGTCTGAGGAGCTCGGGGAGCAGGAACAAGAGTGGCAGCCGGTGGAGGAGCAGGTGGAAGAGCAGAAGGAGGAGTCGTCGTCATCCAGCTGGTCAAACTTCCTCTTGAGCAGCCCAGACATGGTGGGGCAGGGTGTGCTCTGGGACCAGGCAGCCTGGCACAGAAAAGACAGAGCATGAGGTGGCCTGGGGGCAGGAGGTAGGATCACAACCACACTCACCATCCTCCCCTCCTCCTGACCCGGTGAGTTCCAGAGGGTTCCTCAGTCCAAGACCCAGCACCTCCTCTCTTCAAACTCACGTGCAAACTACAACCGGCTGCTCCCATGCTCCCACCCCCAATGCCCAAAGCCCACCCAGGAAACCACCAGGCACCCTCCCCACTGCCTCCCCCTGCCACACACACGCATGCACCCACACCAGCGGGTGCAGGAGGCAGACAGACCGACAGATGGACTGACAGATCTCGGCCAGGCCTCACTCATTCCCCGACAGGAATCCTGGGGGCTGACTCACTGGCTGGGTGATTCACACAGCTCGCATCTGTGCCTTTGTGTGTGGGGGGGCCGTCTGCGCCTTGCAACCCCCCTCCTCCCCACCGGCCAGGGGCTCTCCCTCCTCCGCCTCCTGCACACGCACACATGGCACACACAGCCGGCTTCCGGCCCCTGCTATGAGGCCTGGCTGACCACGCACTGTGCAACCAGCCTGCTTTCGACACGGGCCCTCATGCCCTGCCCAGGCTGTGACTTCTCTAACTTTTCCCCTTAGAAAGTCCCACCAACTGGCAGGAGAGAAGTCCCGTGCCTCCTGGCCTGGCTATGTGACCTAAGCAGCTCATCTTGTCCAGGTACCAAGTTCTGGCCTTCTACTCCACCATCTGATCCTGTGTGCAATAACATCCTATGGGAATTTTTTGCTCCTTTTTAGACCAAAAAAAAAAAACAAAACAAAAAAAACCATAACAAAAAAACCCTTCCATGTGGTGCTGATGGCTTCCTCACCTTAGCTGATGTCCCCTGCCCCTGCCCTCTCTGTAGCTTCGTGCCAAACCCCCAGGGCTGAGCACAGCTGCCTTTGTTGCCAGGTCCTGCTGCATTTGAGGTTGCACACCCCCCCCACCGCCCGTGCTGCCCTCTGCCCGAGGTCACCAGGACTGGCAGTGCTGCGGAGCCCCTCCCCCATGGCCATCACAGGAAATGAGAGTGAAGGGGAAAAAACCTACCACTGGGCTGGCTGGCCCCCGACTCAGGTGTCCTTTCCAAACCCCCTCCCCCTCTCCCAGGCCTCCCATGAAGCCCCTAAGTCCTGGAGGGTGTGTGCTGGTGCAGCCCACCGAGTGGCTACCTGCAGAAAATGCAATCTCAGGACAGACAGGACAACCAGCCTCCCTCCTCCCCAGCTCATCTCCCTCCCACCCCAGGGGCCTGGGGGAAGAGCATGCACAGGTGTTTCCGGGGGCTTCTAGCAGTTGTTTCTCAGGCATGGCAGCATGCACCCCCATCTCCAGGGTCAAACCACAAACACAAACAATCCATCTCCCGACTGGCCTGCAGCGCTCCCAGAAAGCGGACACACAACCTGGAGTCAGTCACACGCATGTGCACTTACTACAGACACAGGGACATCTGCGTGTATGTACACACACACGCGTGGACAAACAACCTCCACACATCCTGTCCCCAAATTCAGGATGCTGTCCGCAGCACACGCACGCAATGCTTCCCTAAAGCCACACCTGAGCCTGCCACCCTTTGGGACCAACCACCCTCTCGCCATCTCCCCTGGGCTGTCCCCTAGAAACATCAAATTCCGAAGCAGGCCCCAAATCGAACCCCTTGTCTCTGTTCCCCACCCCCCACGCCATCTGTTCCTCTTCCTGTATTCCCTATCTTAGTAACAGCACTGCCACCCACCCAGTTACTCAAGCCAGAAACCTGCAGTCACACAGTCATAGCACCCCCCTTCCCCCTCTGCCTCCATCTACATCCAAGCACCCAGCTCCAGAAAGTTCACCTGAATTCATTTAACCCATAGCATGCAGGCCAGGCCAGGCCCAATGCTCAGAAGGACCTTGAAGGCACCTGCCATGAGGTAGAAAACTGGCTACATCAGAACCTCTAGTTCTGCTATTCTTGGCCTGGGCAGCCCTGGACAGGTTCAATATCTCTTGTCTTTGTCTCACAACCTCACAGGGTCAGGAAGTTTCCAGGAATCAGTAACGTGTAGATTCTCTGAACAGAGAGGTTCCTGCAGGGAGGGGTAGGATGGACGGTTCCAGGGAACTGGTCACCACTTCTGTCCACACTCATCTAACTGTACACAGAAACGGCACACACATCATACATGTCACCCATTTTAAACATACCCTACCTTTATCGAGTTTGTTCCCACTGACACCAGCCACAACGAGATGGTGGCAAACCTCTTATCTGCCCACACCACCCTCTGCTTTCCCTTTGCTTCAGCCACTGTGAAAGTCCCCTAGGAAGGCTCACCCCTAGGATCAGGTCCAGAATTCCCAGCAGCTGTAGGTCTGGCCACTGCTTCCCCCTCCAGTCACCGCACCGGGTCTGTCCCCACCCCCTGCACACCCGGGTGAACTTGCAGTTCCGCTAACGTCCCCACTCACTCACCTCCCTCCTGCACTTGCCCGAGCTGGATCAGCCCAGCCTCACGCCCTTTCAGAAGCTATCTCTGCAGAGGCCTCCTGCTACAAACTCAGTGGCATTTGTGGCCTACAGACTGAAACTCAGCTAACTCAGTGGGATGGTGTTTGGAGGCGGGGCCCTGGGAGGTAAGCAGATCTTGAAGGACTAAGATCAGGGCCCTTTCAAGAGACACAGATAGCATCCATGTGCAAAGCAGGAAGAGGATCTTCCTTGGCCTGGCATCTTGATGTAACAGCTCCTCAACCTCTGAAACTGTGTCTCCTTCGCTTAGGCACGCCCCTCAAGGACGGTTTTGCCATGGTAGATCTGATGTGCCGAGATGACCCCTATGCACCCCGCACTGCCCCCTTTTCTTCTGGCCATCCTGCAACAGCCTTGCTGCTGGTCTCTTACACCAGGACACAACTGTCACCTGCCTGTGCCTAAGACAGGACCTGATACCTGATGACATCAGAGGGAGGCAGGGCCTGCCCCACCTGTCATCTTGACCGGACCTCCTCTTGCTCCTGGCCCAGAGGATGAGGGGATCACACACCTGGATCCCAGCCTATGCCAGAAGGCTCTGAGCAAGGAGCAGCTCTGAGAGGAGCAGCGAGAACAAACCTCAGTCTGGAAGCTCCCTGCTCCCCAAGAGTAAACTGATGGGGGGAGCTGCTGGCCTCAGGACTGCCCATTGAAGAACTGAGGGTGAAGGGGGTTGTGACAGCCTTGGCAGCGGTCGGGGGAGGGGAGGAGGGCACAGGTGACAATACTGTGCATGGCCTGCTCTAGTAGGGGAAGCCCTGCAGACCACTCCTAGGAGTGGTAGGAGCTAAGAAGGTACCCCAGAAACCCCCAGGTTCCTCCATCCCAAAATGCAGAAGTAGAGAGAGAGGCAGAGGCAGCAGATGAGACAAAAAGGCCCAAAGACTGAGCCGGGAGACAAGGAGTCAGGAAAAGGAATGAAAGATAGAGAGTCCAAGGAGAGTGTCAGACAGTGAGTCAGAGGGCGGGGGAGGGGCCCTTCCCGCCTACCCAGGAATCAGGATCCTGAGCAGAGGCACTGCGCCCTCCTGGGGTCCTGGAGCCAGAAACGCCACGCCCCCTTGGCCCCTGGAGCCAGGCTCTGAATCACAGCACCAGCCTGCTTTCAGGGTCTCAGCAGGCCCTGGGGAGTGGGCAGCCCTTCTGCCACCCACCGTGTACTGGCATTGCCAGTCCTGGGGCAGGAGTGGGGGGTACCAGCCTACCCACTCTAGTACCACAGCCCTCTCCGCACTAAGCAAATCCATGGAAGGCAATCACGCACGGCATCAAATGGGGGCAAGGAGAGAGTTTCAGACTTCCAAAAAGTCATCCTGAGCCCTTGTGCCCAGCTCAGCAGTGCCACCAAGGCCCCCAGCTCCCAGCCCAAGATGGTACCCCCAGAGGACACATTTAAACTGCCTCTGTTCCCCTCAAGGAATCCCAAGAATGCATCCTTTAACCTCTAAGCTCCCGGTCCCGGCCAGTGCCTTACCCTCCCCTCCCCCTTACACCTGGGGGTGGGAGGAGGGATGTCACACAGTCCCAAGTCCTCAGGGATTACTTTCTGGGAAAAAGAAAGGACACCTCTGCCTGCCCTCCCCCCCACACACAACTGCCCAGAGACAGCAGACAGGAAGCCTGGACACACCCCTCCCCCACCCATCACTCGGGGAGGAGACAGTTCCTCAGCCTTGGCCTCCAGGGCCTGGCACTGGGTGGGTGCCAAATATTTGCTGGCAACAGGAGGCATTGGCTCCTCGCGTTAGGGAGACTGCACCTGACAGCATGTGTATGACTGGGCCCCAGTCTAAGGAAGACTCCACCACCCTCATTCATTCATTCAATCTTTACCGAGCTTCGACGGCGAGCCAAGCACTTCGAGGGGCGCAGGCACAACGGGGAGCAAGACCTAAACAAATCCTGCCTGTTGAGGAGTGTGGATGGGTGGCCCGGCTGGGGGTGCAGCGGGCGGGGTGGGGGGCGGTGCAAGCAGAGAGTCCCCGCAGGGAGGGGCGCTGAGCTGGGGTCATAGGGCAGCCTTTAGCCCGAGGGCACGCGAGGGCTTCAGCAAGGCGTGACACATCAGATTTGCATTTTTAAAAGATGGCTCAGCAGTGGGGACGGGAGGGGGTGTGACCAGCCAGCCGGACCGCACTACTGGGGCCAGGTGACAAGACAGGAAGAGGCGCCAAGGAGAACGGAGTGGGGGATGGATTGGGGAGCCCTAGGATATGGAGACGGAAGTGGCAGGGTTCGTCCGAGATTTGGGGGAAGATGATGAGTAACGCACTGGAGGCCCCGGAGACTTCGGAATGGGGGGATGGGGGTGAGCGGAGACACGGGGTGGGCAGCAGGAACCCACAAGGGACCCTTCCATGGGCCAGGGAGCGGGATGACTAAGTGTGTGATGGTCGCTGCGATGTGGGCATCTCTGCGGCGCAAGCCGCTGCTGGGGTCCCCTCCCCCCGCCGCAAGGCAAGGAGGCAGGTCATGCACGAGAACCCGGGCAGAAGTGCGTGGGAGAGGGCCTACGTGTGCCCGCGGGTGGCCGGTGTGGCTGCGCCCCGTGACTCAGAGCGGTGGCCTGCGCGTGTGACGGCGACTGACAAACAGGTGAGCGCACGACACAATCACCGCCCGCCAGGGGTCCGTGACTCACCCAGCCGCGCGCAGGGATCCTCCTCCTCCTCCCAGCCCCGACCCCGCCTGCCGCGGGGTGCCCCGCACACTCCCCACCACCCCCTCCACACACACGTACACACACACACACACACACACACACACACACGGGCAAAGTGTGTGTGTATGTGCGGGAGGGGGAGCCTAGGGAAGACGACGACAAATGTCACCTGCTCGGGCCACGCGAGGAACTTCTGAAAAGTTCTCAAGCAACTGGGTCAGAAGGAAATTCAGCCCGCAGGCGCGAGCACCCGGTCACCCCTCCAACTCTCCCTCAGCTCGGGCCCCGGGATTCAGCTGCGGGGACACAATCGCGACCTGGTGCGGCGGGGGAAGGGAGTGGGAAGCCCGCGATCCCCGGTCCCATTGCTCCCCGCAGTCTAGCCGCGACTCCGGGCCGTGGCGTGTGGATCTGACGCCGGGTGGGCAAGCCCCGACTCCGGCGCCCGCCCAGAGTTGGGGTGCCAGCGACTGGCAGCGGCCAAGTGTCCCCCCCCCCCATCCCTGGGCCCCCAGCACTGCCCCCCGCGCGCGCGCGCGCACAGACTCACACACACACACACACACACTTCCCCGAAGTCCTGTCCGGCCGAACTCAGGGGCCCTCAATGCTCACCTGAGACCGAGGCGCTCTCCCAGGACACCGACTGCTCCCGCGTCCTGAGGCCGGGACGCTCCTCACCCGCCTCCCCGGCCTCCCAGCGCCCCTGACTCGGTGCGCGACCGGCCGGCAGCCGTCGGTCAAGCCGTCCGCGGCTCTGCGCGTCCGGCAGCGGCGGCGGCGGCGGGAGACTGGCTACGCCGGGGCCCCGCCTGCAGCTCCGCCCTCCTCGTCAGTGGAAAACTCCGGGGCTCGCAGCGCTGACGCACGCCGGGCCTCCCGCCAGGCCGCCCGCAGCCCCGCCCCGGAGGCGCCGCCTCCTCCTCCTCCTCCTCCTCCTCCTCCTCCAGTCCCTCTCTCTCCTCCCTCCCCCGCCGGGAGCCCTGGCGCTGCAGCCTCGGGGCCTCCCTGCGGACTCTGACCGGGCGACGGCGCCTCCGCCGCGCTCCCCGCCCGCCTCCCTCCCCAGCTTCGCGAAGGCGCCCCGGATTCGCGCTGCCGGCGCTAGGCGCTGACAACCCTTGGCCTCGCCGCGGCGTCCCGTTTACAGACTGGCAGACTGAGGCCGCGAGAACCCGACAGAAAACCGGAGGGCCGCTGAGCGAGACCTCTAGCCCGTCAGAAGCAGTTTCTTACCTAATCCCCTCAGGATGTAGGCTTCACCGCCCCCCCCCCCCAACCCCGGGCCCATGGCTGGAGAGGAACCTGGGGGAGGGAGGACGGGGCGATGGGGACACCAGGGGGCTTGAGCCTCCCCTCTTCCCACGGGCTGGAGACCCTGCCTCTGCAGAGGACCCTGAGTCAGGGGGCCCTTAGGAATAGCTTCCCCGCTTCAATCCCACCACCCCTTAAAAATTGATTTATTCCGGCCCAGACTGCCGCCTTCTCTATTCCTTCCCAAACCTGGGCCAGCCCTCCCCGTGGAGAGGGCTGACAAGTGAACCCCGGGAGCCTACCCTCGCCCCTCTTATCTCCCATCCCCATTCCTGGCCCGCCTGGAACCCTTTTCAGCACCATACCTTCGCCGCTGCAGCCGGCCCGTTCCCGGGTGGCCCTGAGAATCCCAACTGCCTGGAAGAGATCAGCTTGCAATGCCTCCTCCGGGCAGCCTTCGTGGGAGCCCGCCCCTCTCCCGCCCCTCCCGGTGCTGTTCCCACTGCCTTCTGGGCTCAGGTGCTGTCCTAGATGAATCCTGTCAAAGGGCTGGCCCAGCCCTGGAGATTCCATTCTATCCTGCTCTGCCCCTACGCAGGGGAAGGGATTTTGCGACCTCTTGAATGGCTTGAGGGCGGGGTGGGGGTGTGCACGGTGGTGGATGCCCTTCCCAAACAGAAACATTTAGGCGGAGAAGGACTTAACGGAGCCTCCCAAAGAGGGAGAATGCAAGAAAGTGTGGCCCGGGGTTTTCTGATGCTTTTTGTGTGTGCCCCGGGTGTGGAGGGGGTGGGTGCTGCAGGAGAAGGTCTGGGCGCTGTAACCAGGCTCCTGTTGCCCTGTGAAGGCCTCCAGGACCCCATGCCCACCTTCACAATTCCACCATTGCAAGCCCCATTCTCCCTCCTTTCCCTTCCCCTCCGTTTCAGTGTCCTCAAAGTGTGCCCCTTTTTGTTTCTTCATGCGCCTCAAAAAAAAAAAGTATTTATTGGAAAGACAGAAACCGTTCCCATCCACTGGTTCCCTTTGCCAACCACCCACAGCAGCCAAGAGTGCGGCAGGCCAGGAGCTAGCAGCCAGGAACTCAATCCAGGTCTCCATGTGGGTGGCAGGAGCCCAGTTTAACTCAGAGCCATCACAGTTGCCTCAGGAGGCTCCACTGCAACTGGGAGCTGGCGCCCAATGAACCCCGGCACTCCTAACACACAACAGCCCTGTGGTCACCACTGAGGTAAGTGCCTAGCCCTGTCGTCTGCTTTTAACATTAGTCCTGCAGCTTGGTACAAGAGGTGTGCTCTGCCTCCAGCTACATCTCCTGACTCCCACCCCACAGCCTTAAAAACTACACACTTGGTTCCTGTGAACCAATGGGCAGTTGGTAGAGTGTGTCTGGGGTTCAACCTCCAACGATGCTGGTCTCCAGGCTGCACTGCCCTTGTGCCCACTCAGTGGCATGGCTTCCTTGTGTTATTAAAGGGCAGTGGATGGCCAAGAAGGCCTGTGCACATGATGGCTGCTAGTAAAGCAGATGTGCTTAGTAAATGGATAGAAGGAACTCAAGGATAAAGCTCTCTGCAAAATAAAGGGGTTTGGGTTAGAACACCCCAAGGGCCTAAATGTTTGCTGACTTGGGCCGAGCCTAGAGTTCATAATGGTCTCTTGGGGACACTGCCTGGGTTTGTATTCTGCAGAATTGTGCCAGGAAAGACAGAAACGTGGGTAAGGAGCTCATGATGGCATCAGTGGGTGCTTAGTATGAGTGAAGCCAGTGGTTCATAGAGTTCAGGCAGCAGGAAGAGAAGAGAGAATAGGAAGATATTGTGGAATACAACAGCTCTGACAAATCGTGTTTTCTCTGGAAAGAAAAGTATCGCCCTGTCCTGGGTTGGGCTCACCAGATGTCCCCCAGATGTTGCTGGTGAAGGCAAACAAGTCCCTGTGGGATCTCAACTGCTGCCCCTTCCTGGTTTGGGGGAGGTGAGGGATCTGTGCCAGGCCGGTAGGGTGGGGTCCGGAACAGCGTCTCTGTATTCATGTCTCCACGGAAGCACAAGTCCTCAGGGAGCTCCCCAAGAGTTGGGGAGGCCCTACGAGTTTCGCAAACATCCAGTGTCCACAGACCACCCATTGTAGGCACACGAACATTGAATATTTACTGATAGAATGACAGAATGAATGACATGCTCACATCAGTAAGGTTAAAATGAAAGGGGCCAAGAATACTTAACAAGGCAAGAATGAGAAATAATCCATCCACCAAATATGGTTGGGGTGACCGGGAATTGATATAGTTGGCAAAATGATTTGTGAGTACCCAATAAGGCTTAACATAAATTCTACTTCATGTTTCCATGTTTAATAAGCATATTTAATTCTACTTAAAATATGTGCCCAAGAGAAACAAGGTGATCACTGCCAAAAGAAATTCACAAGCATGTTATAGCAGTTTTATGTATAAAAGCCAAAAACTAATAGACGAGTAGAAACAAATTGTAATTTGTATTTGTTTCTAATGGAATCCATCATTTGATTTCCAATGGATTACACTGGTACAGAATTAAAAAGAACAAACTTGCTTTATAGGACAATGTGGATGAGTATTTAGCCATTGAACTGAGTAGAAGAATTTAACAACTCTGTTGCATTTATTAGATTTATTTGTATTTTTATTGGAAAGACACATTTACAGAGAGAAGGAAAGACAGAAAAATTGCTATCCACTGTTTGCTCCCCAAATAGTCACAATGGCTGGAGCTGAGCTGATCCAAAGAGTCAGGAACTTCCTCCGGGTCTCCCGTGTGGTTGCAGGGTCCCAAGGCACTGGCCCATTCTCTAATGCTTTTCCAGGTTACAAGCAGAGAGCTGGATGGGAAGTGGAGCAGTCGGGACACAAACCAGTGTCCACATGGCGGGTGCTGGTGCTTGCAAGGGGAGGATTAGCCAATTGAGCATCCACGAGGCCCTACTGCATTTATTTATATGAAGTTTAAAAACAGGCTGATGAAACCTGGTGATGGCGGGTGCTGCCTTTGGGAGAACTGGCTGGAAAAGGACACAAGAGAACCTTCTGGGGATGTTGGAGATGTTTTCCTCCCTTTCATCTTCGCAGTGGGTGGACAGGTTTATACATATGTAAAATCCCGAGTTCTTAAACTTGGCTCACTTTATTAAAAGTGTCACCTTGGACATAGAGAGAGGGAAACATAACAGTCAATGTTGTTGTGAAAGGAGCCAGTGCGATCCGCCACCTGTGGCTTCTGTTCCAGCTCAGTGCTGATACCGCTGGAAAAGCACTTGAAGATGGCCCCAAGTGCTTGGGATCCTGCACCCACATGGGAAACTCGGAAGAAGCACATGGCTCTTGGCTTTGGAGTGGCCCAGATCTAACCATTGCAGCCATTTGGAGAGTGATGTAAGATCTCTCTCACTGTAACTCTTATTTTAAGAAAAATAAAAATTTTTAATGAAACCTTTTTGTTGGAAAATCAGAGTTACAGAGAAGGAAAGACAGAAAGGAAGATATTCTGTCCTTTGGTTCACTCCCCGGTGGCTGCAATGGCCAGAGCTGAGCTAATCTGAAGCCAGGAGCCTCTTCCAGGTCTCCCAAGTGGGTGCAGGGTCCCAAGGCTGTCTTTGACTGCTTTGCTAGGCCAGAACAGGGGTCTGGAAGAGAAGTGGAGCAGCTGGGATATGAACCTGCACCCATGTAAGATCCTGGCATATGTGAGGCAAGGATTTAATCCACTGTGCTGGGTCCAGAAAATAAATCTGAAAAATAAAGTGAGAGTTTTTAACAGAGCTGAATCTCTAGCCCCTCCCCCACTTCCTGAGATCATCAGGTCGATTTTAAAATTCCAGCCTTGCCATTACATGGTGACCTTGATGACCTGCCCTGTCCTGAGACTACAGGCCCTATTCTAAAACACTTCTTTAGCATAAAGCCAGGTGTTTTCCTTATAAGGAACCAAAGCTGTTCCCAACTCGGAAAGGCAATGTGGGGGGTTTTTGGAACTCTGCTGGGGGTGAGGTCAGAGACTGACTTTTTCTTTTTCTTTTTTTTAAGATTTATTTTTATTGCAAAGTCAGATATACACAGAGTAGGAGAGACAGAGAGGAAAATCTTCCATCCAATGATTCACTCCCCAAGTGACCACAACAGCCAGTGCTGTGCTGATCTGAAGCCAGGAGCCAGGAACTTCTTCCAGGTCTCCCACACGTGTGCAGGGTCCCAAGGCTTAGGGCTGTCTTCCACTGCTTTCCCAGGCCACAAGCAGGGAGCTGGATGGGAAGTGGAGCAGCTGGGGCATGAACCATTGCCCATGTGGGATCCTGGAGCTTGCAGGTGGAAGATTAGCCAATTGAGCCATCACATTAGCTCCAAAGGGCTCTTATTATTACCACTATTATTCTATTATTATTATTATCGCAAGATTTATTTACTTGAAAGGCAGAATGATAGGTAGAGGGAGGGGAAAGAAAAAGAAAAAAGAAA